ATTAAAATAATAATAATGATCATAATAATATACTCCTTCTCTCTGGGTTTAGACCTTTGGGAGTCATAACCTCCTGAGAGTCGGGGTCATTCTGCAGCGGGCCATCCTCATTTTGATTCTGGCATGTTTCCCCTGCTGGGCGCTCCTCATCAACACGGAGCTCATTCTGCTGGCAGTCAGACAGGAACCGGAGGTGGCCAGGTCAGATAGTCTCAAAATACACTACCTTCCCCACTGCTTGTTATTTCTACTTGAATTTGATGGATACCATGTCTCTCTAGGTTGGCGCAGCTGTATGTCAAAATTTTCATGCCAGCACTTCCTGTAAGTGTGTCTAATTATGTTCATACTTGTGTTATTTTAAAAAGATCAGTGCACATTGATTAAAGGTACAGTGTGTAGAATTTTGTGATAACTAGTGTTGAAGTTGCATGTTGCAGCTGAACACCCCTCACCTCACCCTCTCCTTCCAAACATGAAAAATAACCTGTGGTAGCTTCAGTTGTCTTTTAGTTTGTCCAGTTTGGACTAATGTAAAACAACATAGCGGCCTCCATAGAGAGGGTCCCCTCGATGTAAATATAAAGTATTTAAATATAATGTGGCCTTTTCTGGGGTAAAGAAAACTACAATCTCGAAGAAATGAAAACATCATGAGGATTATTCTACATTCAATTTCTGCCAATAGTTCCCTTTCACCTAATTCTTACACACTGGACCTTTAACATACATGTCATAAATGTCACCAGATGACTAATGTTAAATATTTAAAATGCTTATCAGTCCCAAACTCTGAACTAACTGGTTTCACATTGACAAACAAATGGACTTATTTAATTACCTTTGGAAAAATACTGCACTAGAGAAGACTGCTTCCAGAACTTGGCTCCAGGATAATTTAATGAATTTTAAAGTATTTTAAAACTTGAACACCTCATCTCAACATGCTTATAAATAGATGTTTGGCCTATTTAGAGGTGTCTGTCATAAATTGCTATTAAAAAGGTGAATTTATTGCACACTGACAGTGCAGTACACACTTCACTTGCTGTCCACATCTCTGTTTGGGTTTTTACCGCTCACCGACATACAGCTCAGGCGAATTGGAAATCTGAATTCCACCAATAATAATAACTCTGCCGAGTTAGTTGTATAATGTTTATTTTATTGATTTCTTATTAATTATGAATATCTTTATTCTTTTTATTTTCAGGCTACATTTATGTATGCATTAGAAATCAGATATCTGCAAAACCAGGTAAGTCTGTTATTATTCTACAGTAAATATCTCCTTCATGAGCTTGTCTGAGTCTCAGTCATCCAGGTCATGGTATCTAGAGGAGTACTACATACGACTCCTGGAGATCCTCAATGACCTGAAACAATACAGTTGTCTATTTGCCTTCCATGACTATATGAAAGAGGTCACAGAGTCTATGATATCACGTATACAGCAAGAATTCTATTTGTCAGCCCTCGATTCATTTTGCCTCACTGTGGCTCCACAGGCAGGACTGATGTGACATTAGAGATTTATACTTTCTCAATTCAGATGGTAATGAACTGTGGGCTGCCTGGACGTTTCCATGTCAAGGACCTTAGAATACATGTGTGCAAAACCACAAGCCTCCATTTGGAGCACATGTTTGATTGGTTTTGTGTTTTCTGATTTGTTAAATGAAGCCGTTGTCCAGTAAATTCTAACATCTCACAACAGTAATGTTCCTGACAACGTAACAACGTTCTCTTTAATAGTTAAAAAAAATGGTTCAGCCCCAAAGGCATCAGGATGTATCAAGGATTTGTTAAATTATACATCTTCTGTCTGGTGATGGGAGGAAGACACAGTTGGAGAAAACCATTAAGGTAGTCTGACAGCCATCTTAGGGTCTCACTTTGTGTCATTGTGCGACTCATATGTGGTACTTTTCCTTCAGGGCATCATATGGCCACAGGTCATCACAGGCTTTGTGGTCAATCTCCTTAACGCTCTCATCAACTACATTGTTCTCTATGTATTCAATATGGGTGTAGCGTGAGTATCATTCCTTGAACTTGACTCATTCATTATCATCAGCACTGATAGCGTCACTTGACTAGCTTCACACTATGTAATACTCTTTTTACAGCGGCTCTGCTTTTGCCAACTCTATCTCCCAGTTCCTCATGGCTGGACTTCTCTATGCTTACATTATGTGGCAAGGCCTTCATAAGGCCACCTGGGCAGGTGGGTACATTTGCATTGGCAGATAGTGATCCTGCATATAATAAGAGGCTCCAGTGGTTCCCTCAGCATGTGTATTAATGAGTTATTAAAGCCAGGACGAAAACTCAGAGGAACAGAATAAAGCTGCTGCTCAGGAAGCAAAAAAAATCTAAAAATATTTCTGGTAAGAAATGGAAGAGGGTTTTGAAAATATTTAGAGCTGTAGTAACAAGTCTGTAGTTCATGGTGATCAGAAAACAGACCATAAGATATGTTTTCAATGCTTTTTTGACAGTTTAAGGTGAAAGATACTATGTTCATAAGAAATATCTAGAACACAACATGGTGAAGGTTTTGTGTTGTCGTTTAACTTGTAGGGAAAACCTCTAATGTGTTGAAATTTCTATTTTTACAAGGAGAACCTGTTTGTGGAGAAAAATTATTGCAATTTTCCATTTTTCACACGCTGAAGGCAAAAATTTAAATAGAATTATAGTAGTACATTTTTGTTTGCTCTTAATTTCTTAATTTTCCAGTTTTTCTTTGAAATTGTGGTGTATGATAGACTTAAAATCATGAGTATGAACATAGAAAGAACAATGTGATTAAAAAAATATGGTCGTTGTTCTAAGATATGACACAAAGACTTCATTTAACAGTATATTTTTCATATTCCAAGTGTTTTATGAGTTATTTCACAACTTATTAACATTGTTTGAAGTAAAGATAGTCAGCTTTGTAAAGATACAGACCGACTGATGAATTGATGAATTTGAGTTACTAATTGATTTATTGTTTGACTACACAGGCTGGTCTAAACAGTGCCTGCTGGACTGGCGCCCGTACATCCACTTGGCCGTGCCCGGCACGATCATGTTGTGCGTTGAGTGGTGGGCGTATGAAATTGGTTCTTTTCTGGCAGGTACTGTTACAGACACTTTGTAATTTGAATCACCTGAAGTGACTGAAGTAAAGTGAATCTGAAATCTAACAGCACTTTGTCATCAACAGGTCTGATCAGTGACGTGGAACTTGACGCTCAATCGGTCGTGTATGAGCTGGCAAATGTTGTATACCAGGTAATAAATACTGAATATACATCAAATTATTCTTGTGTGGAATCAATCACCTGTTCATGCAGTGCAACATCATATTAATGTAGCATTTCTTTTGTCTCTAGTTCCCATTGGGTTTTAGTGTAGCAGGCAGTGTAAGAGTTGGAAATGCTTTGGGAGCCGGACAAACAGAACAGGCCAAACTGTCTGCCAAGATGACAATTATCTGTGCAGGTCAGTGAACGCTTTAACAGAATTTAATTGTATTTACTAATATCCACCTTAATTGTTGTTATACAAGAAACTTTTTTACTTGGCGCTTGTATAATGTTATCAAAGTTATCAAGCTGCTCCGGCTGTTTGACCTCATTTACTGTGAATAAAAGTTCATGTGTTTCAGAAAAGAAGTCAGTTCAACACAATCTGAAAGATGCAAATGGTTGATAATTGAGTCCGTTACTCTTCACCACAGGGTCAGTGTCTGTATGTTTGGCGATCCTCATCATGAGTCTGAAGAATCATATCTCTTATATTWTTACATTTGATGAGTGAGTATGTTTTTGTCACCACAATTCTCAATGTTTGTAAAAAATAATGTGTCACATAAACACATGACTAGCCGGTGTTATGTCAGGGGAAATAACGTGACATGACCTTTCACCGTTATTGCCTGAGCAGAAAACAGTTTGTTTTAAACAACACCACAGTGCAATGTTTCCTTGTGATCGTTTTTTAAGACAGCAGTCTATGACATTACCTTTGGGTTTGCTTTCAAACTATCTAGTCCAAGGAATATCTTTTGAAATACCTCAAATGTTTTGATCAGTTCTTTTGATTAGCGAAGTTGGAGCATGTATATCAGCCCCATTTGCAAGGCCCAGGCTCTCTGGTACAAGTAGGACAGATAATATTTTAGTGTTTTAAGTCATCATATTTAAAAACAAGAGCAACACAAAGTACAGTGGACTGTTTGATCGTTGGTGTTTCTTACCAAGTGCTCTTTGAAGAGGTCCTCCTCCCTTTCTCTGAGAAACGCCACCAGATAACGAATAATATCCTCTCTCCTTCTTTCTACAGAATTATCCTGTGAAAAAGACAAAATATTTTGCAACTGCACATCCACAGAGTGGATAACATACTTTTGTAGGCTTTGCGAATGTTAGCATCACCCTGGTTCTATCTCAAAAAGCCAATGGGATTTTTCCACGTTAACATGGCTTAACTACCAGTGCCAGCTTTAACTTAAAATTCAGTAAAACACTTATTCTCTTACCTTTGCAGTGGCAAAACTAACACTACACAAGTTCAGAGCCATGTAATATGTCTTCCTCCATAAAACAAAACCAAGTGACAAAAAGAGACAGCATTAATGTTAGCTAGCTAAGAAGGCCTATAGGAGTTTTCTAAATGAAATTCATAATTTAACTTAAGTGCTGCATAAAAAACAATAATATCTTGCACTGTGTGCAGATGCAGTTAGCAGTTATGAATAACATAAACGAAGATAGTTACTTGCCCCTATGATATTCAAATATTAAAACTCCCGTTTCTCTTCCTCCTTTCTCTTCTTGTGATAGAGGTATCTGCAGTAGAATGTGCCCGGGCAAATTTGGGCGCGTACTTATTTTTGAAAAAATACATACAGTAGTTGAAACTCACTATGAAGACAAGTTGGGCTAACTAAATATTTCCCTGCAGTTAAGTGAACACAGAAATATATATTCAAAAGTGGTAAACAAATAAGTTAACACCTTGCTCTTGATATTAATTCTGTCCAACATCTTACAATAAGTTGTCAACTGACDAAAACATGTTCATGTAACAAACGTAACTTTTTATGTAGAAAAACATCTTTATTTTAAGGGCAGTTTACTAACCCTATGAATCATTTTTTAGAGTGTACAGAGTCAGACACAAAATTTCCACAGTTTTCTTCTCTACCAACAGACAAATCAGGGAAAGAGTCGCTGATGTCTTATCTTTCTATGCTCCATTCATTTTCCTGGATGCAGTTGCCGTAAGTTTATTTCTACCATTACGTCAAGATCTTGACAAAGACTACGGCGTGTTTGGCAAGTCTAACCACTTGTATATTTATGTTTTTTGTGACTAGGCTGCTTTTGGTGGTGTTATACGAGGAACTGGTAAACAGAGAGTTGGGGCTATCTGCAACGTTTTGGGATTTTATGGCGTTGGTTTCCCGGTCGGAGTGTCACTGATGTTTGCAGCCAAATTAGGAATCAAGGGTAAGATTACAGCAGAGATGTTGTTTAGCCTTCTGCTGTTTTGTAAAATATTCTTGACTGGTCCTCCTTACTGTTTTGTTTTTTCTAAGTATGACCTCACCATGGCTTCACCACTTGTTTGCTACTCTTTTCAAGCCACTCATTTATTTCATAGGTCTGTGGACAGGCTTGATTATATGCGTGTCCCTGCAATGCACATTTCTGATTTTCTACCTGATAAGAATGAACTGGACTAAAGTGACAGTTGAGGTTAGTATGCAGAGGTAAATTATAAAAAGCCCAATGCATCAAACATCTTTATGAATAAAAAGATTGTTGTTTTTCCTCCAGGCTCAAGTCCGAGCAGGAGTGCATGAGAGCTACACAGAAACAAGTGAGAGAGAAACGTAACAATTGTATATTGTCTGTTTAGATGCAAATTCATGTTGTATTAATTGGTCACCACTATTCTTGAGCTAGAAATATATAGTCCTTGTCATTATATCTCTGCTTAGGAACACAAATTAAATATATATATATACTCAAAGCTGTATTACAAATGATACCATTTGGTATTGCTAACAAGTGTGAGCATATGCTATGTATTTGACATGAGCAATTTAGCTGGCTTAAATAATTTATAAACAGTACACTGTACAAAGATTTTTAAAAAAGGGTTATAATTTAAAATGGTTTATTTTACACTGTCAATAAACAGTTTTATGCAAATATCACATTTTTCACAAAAATGTTAGATAGAGTTTGATCATTTTAAAGTCCAAGCTGAAATGATAGTGTGACATTTGTGTGTGTGTTTGTGCAGGTCAGCAGCCAGATGATCAAACGTACTCCTATGATCAAACAGACACGATCGAGCTGGTTGACATGAAGACGAAGCTGAGTCACCGGGCTGCGGTTCTGCGAAGAGGCTTGACTGTGGCTATCATGCTTTTCATCTTAGTTGCTGGGATCATGTTGAACCTACTGATCACCAACCTGGTGACATGAACACAAGTAAAGTCTGTTGAGCTCAGCGGAGCAACTCGTCAGCCACCAGCTCAGTGTGATGCAGATGTTTGCATCGCAGGATGTCAGAGCAGGCCAGAAGAGTGGCAGATGTGAAAATGAGCAGAGAGTAGAGAGAACAAAGAAAGCGAAATCATCTCCAAGCCAAAAGAGAATGAGTCAAACCAAAGAGGGTTTGACAACCTGTGTGTTAATAACAATAAACAGAAACATTGTGGTAAATTTAAACTCTCAAAGTGAGTCTGACTCTTCATTTTGGAGCAACACGGTGGAGAAAATTTGATCAGGAGTGTACGTAGTATTGATCCAGTCCAAAGTAACATTAGCCTCTGAGGAAAGAGTCTCTGGTAAGGGCACAAGGAAGTGCACAGTCGCTCCCACAGCCAGAAACCCAACCGCTGCAAGCATAGTGAGGCCTCGTCTGAGCACCAGCTGGGTGGTGGAGAGACGACCTCTGTTATTCTGCTGCAGCACATGTCCCCCTTGTGCCTCAATGTTCCCATCATGTCCCTCAGATCTCACAGACATGTCACCATGCAATGGCTGGAAGAAAAAATTATATTCTCCATGACTTCATTATGTAAGATCATACAGAGACCAAACACTTTTAGTTACTTACGTTGCAAGCAGTGTTGTCACTCGCGGTGTCTAAATCCACAGTTTTCCTGAATAATGTCACTTGAGTGTTTTTCTGAGCTCGAATCACCGTCTGAAACAAGCAGAGAATAAATCAGTTTTCCTCATGTTCTCACAGTCCAAATTCAGTATCCCTGCGTTCAGTACCTCCTCTGTCATCTTCTCCCAGTTCATCTTGAAGATGACAATGATGTAGATGGTGGATTGTAAAACGAGACAGACGAGCAGCCCCAGCCAAAACCCTGCAGAGAAAAAGATAGATTAGTCTGTTACGTAAACAGCAGACTACATTAAAAAAAGTTGTATGTTTTATTAAAAAAGAAGGTCACTTCATGCAATTACCCAAACTTCCCAGCTTTGCAACAAACATTAGAGTAACACCAAGTGAAAGTCCAATGCAGTAGTATCCAATGAGATTAGCCACAGCTGGTATCTTTTGTTTTCCCGCGCCCAAGAAGATGCCACTGCACACACACTAGGATGTAAATGGAAAATATCTCTGATTATGATGCGCTGTCACACTGATTTGGATAAGTTTGGATAAATGAGCATTTCATATTTAACTCAATTCACATGCTTTTGATAGATGTGGGAATAGAAACATTTGAGACTCACCAAAAGGCTGTCAAAGAACTGAAGGAAACAGTATGCGTTCATCAGGTGGGAGACCAGATTTATGATCTTTCTGGAATCAGGATTATAATTAACATCTGTTTATCATGCTAAATCTATATATGCAGCACCAGCACTTGAACAGTCACAGTAAAGTGAGCGAGTGTTAGTTACTTTGGAGACTCACTCATCAGAGGTGAAGATGAAGCCAATCATTGATTTAGTGGAATAAAGCACCAGACCCTCAACGACTGCGATGCTGCCTGAAAGAGAGAAGCTGTGAAATCTGTCAAATAGCAGGGAAACAAAACAAACTAGATTCAAGATGTTTATAATTATTGTTATTATATAAGTGTAATCGAAAAAAAATGACAGGGAAACTCTTTGGTAGCAAAGATAGGTTGTTAAGTTAGTATCAAAAGATATAACAATAATAACTAGATGAAAACATAGATTACAATGTATATTTGAAAAATAAATATGCAACAAAAATATAAGAATTTTCATCTTGAGGACAGAATAAATAAATATGTAATAACAATGAAATAACAGTGAGAAAAAAAATGACCTGCAAGAGTGAGGGAAACCTTGCTGGTGAGAATAGCCCTGGCACTGTCTCCTGCACCGAGAGCATTACCCACACGGGCACATGCTGCAGCTTGAATACCCAGTGGGAACTATGGATTCACAATTTATTGTTAAAGCATGAAAAAGCATTTTTCTATTGATAGTGCTCATAAGTTCAGTGAATCTGACTGAGGGTGAAAAACAAACATGACATGAAAACAGTTTTAATTTGAGAATGTGGCACTCTGACTGCAGAATCTGTTGAAGTAGTAGTAGTTACCATGTAGGTTATGAATGCCACCATTGTTATCACATGTTGAGCTGCCAGCTCATCTTCACCCAGCATTCCTGAGACAAAGAGGGAATCACAGCCATGACTCAAAATTTAAATCTGTTTCTATGAAATATAAATTAAAAGAAATGGTTTACCTGCAAAGAATCCCCCCAAGTCATAAATCCACCACTCAAAGCATTTCATCAGTGCACTGGGTATGGCCAGTTTCATAAAGGAGCCCCATTCCTGCAGTGATTCCACAGACCAGCCTGCAGGGGGAGAGACAGACTTACTCATGTATACAGAGAGAAAACAACCAGTGTCCACGAGCTGATCATGGACTATGATGACAACAATACGCCTACTCACATATCCTACCATTACTGAGAATAACCCCTTAATTAATTTATCATTGCTGCTCCCTTCATCTCTATCAGACATTTTCTTATGTATAAATACTTTAAAAATTGACTATTTTTATCATTATGTTACAAAGTGTTCCTTCTAATCAGTGTTACTCTCAGTTTCATGTTGCATCTGTTGATCTTCTGGCCGTCCTGGGAGAGGCATCCTCACATGTGTCTCTCAGAGGTTTCTGTTTTTAATCCTGTTAATAGCGGTTTTCTTTTGTAGTTTTCTTCCTCTTTTTGAGGGTTAAGAACAGAGGATGTCGCACCTTGTTAAGCCCTATGAGAAAAATTGTGATCTACTCATATGGGCTATAGAAATAAAATTTGATTGATTGAAATATAACTGTCACTCACCTCCCCATGTGTTCACATGCAGCTTCTTCCACCAAACGTAAGCAAACAGAAACACACAGGAGTAAATCTGAGAGAGTGTGTTGGCTGCAGCAGATCCACTGTAACACACACACAGTGATATCAGTGAGTCATGGCTTTCTGTAGATTTAAAACTTTGCATTGAAATGTGTGAGTGCACCCACCTGACTCCAAGATCCAGCCAATAAACAAAGATGTAGTTTGTCACCACATTTGCTATGTTTGCCAAAGCAGCAGCGTACATTTGTGGCATTATTATACCCTGAGAACACAAACACCAGGCAATGTGAATACTTCCACTTAAAGCTTTCTCATCAATACCGAAATAAGATGATACAGCTTAAGCACAGAATTAGTAAAGGACATCAATGCACCTGGTTCTGGAGATAAGAAGCCTGAAGATGATGCAGAAACATTGCCTGCACAGAAATGATTGTAAAAGATGGAATTATTTATTTTGCAGAAAGAATAATAACTGAATATGAGTTGGAATGTTGCATAAAGATGAGAGACGAGTCGGCACTCACAGGTACAGCATAAAGGAAGGATGTAATATACAGCTGGGCTATTCTGAAATCAATACGCTGTATTCAGTTAAAATTAAAGACAAGATAAACAACATACAGGCTTCAGCTTTTATCAACTGATTTTGTCTCTTATTCATCAAAATCTAATAATGCAAATAGTATGTATATGCATATATATATATATATATATATACATATATATACACTATAGATGTCAAGTCAAATTGTATTTGTATAGCCCATATTCACAAATCAAAGTTTGCCTCATATGCCTTAAAAACCTAAACCTTAAAAACAAGGGTGAGGAAAAAAAACAACCGAGAAACTTCAGAGAGAGTCACAAGTGAAGGATTACTTTCCCCTGGACAGACAGAAGATGATAATTGATTAAAATACTGGAGCAGAATTTAGACTGCTACTAAATTAAGATATCAATTGATTTAGTAGAGGTCAGTGGGTCAATATTTGGAATACAGACTGTGATATGCCAACATGATTCAGTGAATCTGTGATTTGAATGCAGAGATAATCTTTGTTCAGAGGATGATGTCTTCATTTCTAACCTGGCCACCTCAGGGTCCTGGCCCACACACAACAGGATCGGCCGGGCGTTGATGAGCAGACCCCAGCAGGGCAGACAGAACAGCAGCAGGATGATGATTCCCCGCTGAAGGATCACTCCCACCCGCAGCAGGTTCTTGCCACCAAATGTCTGTAGATATTAACATTTTCAAGGAGGGGAGTCAAAGCTTGGTTGAAAAAGATTTTTAAAAAAAACATTCTCAAAATGGATTTCCAGACCTGAGACACCAAAGTATCACATGCCAAGGCCAGTCCATATCCTGTTGCTACAGTGGTGATATTAATAGTCTGAAATGAAGATTAAAGATACTTAAATTAGTTTGACGTAAACGTAAAACTGTAAAAAGCTATCTTGGGGAAGTGACAAAAGTGGTAATATTTTTATAATCCCCCCACCATCTCTATGAAATTTACACCTCCTCTTGTCATTTCCTCACGTTAACCTTCACACCACAGTAGTGGAGCATACTTACAGCAGAGGCTAACCCAAAGCCAGCCATCACATCATTTCCCAGACGCCCACAGAACATTGTAACCACTAATGGAAGGAGGTAATTGAGGAGTTGAGAGAGCAGCTGGAGAGACAAACATCGACATGGATTCAGTATGTTATAAAACCAGCTCAGAGATCATAAAATCCAGCAAACACAAGTTGCAATTAATTATCGTGGCACTCAGGCTGTCTTGGCAAATGAAACTACCTCACTGTTATTACTTTGGCGGGTTGCTGCCACTTTCTGAAACCTTCCCAATACCAATTTATTGGTTTTTACTTGTAAGTCTCAGACATGAACGTCTGTTTTCCTGACATCTTCACCTTTTCTTTAGCAAAGAAATACCTTCATAAATCTTCAGTTGTTCAAATCAGCAAGAGCAGCCCGAGCCCTCACAGTCCCTAACAGACAGAGACAGCTAAGTAAACTGTGCCGGTCCTTACCAGAGGCCCTGCCATCCTCAGAACGTGGTAGAGTTCCTCTCTGTAGGCCAGGGGAAGCCACCCACAGCAGAAAAGCTTGTTAATCAGCCCGCCCATGTCTATCACAGGAGATGCAAAGGCAGCTCCTTCCTTTTAAGCATCTGTCTGTGATCTGTCTAATGAACTTATCTTGTTATCTACTGGATGTTAGAAAGGATAGATTTCTTCATTTTCCAGTTTCCTTGAAATTCTGGTGTATTATAATAGATTTAAAATCATTCCCCTCAAGGTAGAAACAACAATACGAAAAAAATATGGGTGTTGTCCCCAGATGACACAATGACTTAATTTAACAGTATATTTTTCATATTCTAAGTGATTCACAGACAGACAGATCAATGAATTGATTCATTTGAATTACTAATTGATTAATTGTCTATGTTCATGGAGCATAGAAAGATATGAAATCAGCCACTCTTTCCCTGATTTGTCTGTCGGTAAAGAAGAAAACAGTGGAAATTTGGTGTCTGACTCTGTAGGAAAGGTTTTATAATATTTTTGAACATGGTGCACTTCAGTACTTTCTCAGTATTTGCTATTAATTCCATTATTCTCGATTGATGATGACAAGCACGAGTGCGCTTGTCAGGAAAATTTTACTCAAGTTAATATGTAACAGTCGCGTTATTTCCCCTGACATAACACCGGCTAGTCATGTGTTTATGTGACACATTATTTTTTACAAACATTGAGAATTGTGGTGACAAAAACATACTCACTCATCAAATGTAAWAATATAAGAGATATGATTCTTCAGACTCATGATGAGGATCGCCAAACATACAGACACTGACCCTGTGGTGAAGAGTAACGGACTCAATTATCAACCAWTTGCATCTTTCAGATTGTGTTGAACTGACTTCTTTTCTGAAACACATGAACTTTTATTCACAGTAAATGAGGTCAAACAGCCGGAGCAGCTTGATAACTTTGATAACATTATACATGTGCCACATAAAATCACAAGACTTGTGCTATAAATTCTTTAGTTACTCAACAGTTTCTTGTATAACAACAATTAAGCTGGATATTAGTAAATACAATTAAATTCTGTTAAAGCGTTCACTGACCTGCACAGATAATTGTCATCTTGGCAGACAGTTTGGCCTGTTCTGTTTGTCCGGCTCCCAAAGCATTCCCAACTCTTACACTGCCTGCTACACTAAAACCCAATGGGAACTAGAGACAAAAGAAATGCTACATTAATATGATGTTGCACTGCATGAACAGGTGATTGATTCCACACAAGAATAATTTGATGTATATTCAGTATTTATCACCTGCTATACAACATTTGCCAGCTCATACACGACCGATTGAGCTCCAAGTTCCACGTCACTGATCAGACCTGTTGATGACAAAGTGCTGTTAGATTTCAGATTCACTTCACTTCAGTCACTTCAGGTGATTCAAATTACAAAGTGTCTGTAACAGTACCTGCCAGAAAAGAACCAATTTCATACGCCCACCACTCAACGCACAACATGATCGTGCCGGGCACGGCCAAGTGGATGTACGGGCGCCAGTCCAGCAGGCACTGTTTAGACCAGCCTGTGTAGTCAAACAGGCTTGTTTACATGCATGTCCCTGCAATCCACATTTCTGATTTTCTACCTGATAAGAATGAACTGGACTAAAGTGACAGTCGAGGTTAGTATGCAGAGGTGAATCTTTATGAATTATAAAAAGCCGAATGCAACTAACTTCTTTATGAATGAAATGATTGTTGTTTTTCCTCCAGGCTCAAGTCCGAGCAGGAGTGCATGACTCCACAGAAACAAGTGAGAGAGATAGTGCAGAAAATCTAATATAAATATCAGCACTGGAATCAATCAGAAGCCTGTCTAGACGCAAATTCATGTTGTAATAACTGGTCACCACTATTCTGGAAATATAAGTCATAATCATTGTATCTCTGCTGAACAACACACCTATAAATATAAATTGGTAATCCCATATAATTTGTGCTTGATAAATTATTGAAATGTATGATACAGAAACAGATTGGTAGATTCACCACAGATTCCCTGAAGTAAAATTTCTCCAGGTGTTCACTCGATAAAAAATATTTTTTATCATTTAAAATATTTTATTTAACAATTAATACATGAAACGAAGGGAGGGTGAGTTGAGGGGTATTCAGCTGCAACATGAAAATTCACCACTAGATCACTACATTCTACACACTGAACCTTTCACATTAATATGCCATTAAATGTGAAACCACCACTGAAGATAAAAGCACATGATTCAACCCACAAAACTGAATTACTTTCCCAATTCAATTAGGTGGAAAGTTGTTTCTCGTGTCTACAAAACATTTCCATCAGCTGTATGCTCTCATAAGACCAGACATGGGTTTTAAACTAGTCTGTTGAACCATTATCTTTATTACAGGTAGATGTGAATTTAATATAATGAGAAAAAAAAACCTAGAGGGGTAAATTATAATCCAAACAATGAATTGATATTTTAAAGCAAAAACATTACAGCTGGACAATTCCTTCGTTTTACTTTTCAGTCAAACTGCCACAGTCAAGCCCTGAGCTTTACTCAAAGATAAAATCAATGATTTCATGATCAAGGCTCTCGAGGTGATACTGTCTCTTCTATTGGGACAACACAGAGGAGAAGTTTTGATCAGGACTATACGTGGTATTGACCCAGTCCATCGTATAGTTGGCAATTGCAGGCAGGGTCTCTGGTAAGGGCACAAGGAAGTGCACACTTGCTCCCACAGCCAGAAGCCCAACCATCGCAAACATAGTGAGTCCTCGTCTGAGCACCAGCTGGGTGGTGGAGAGACGACCTTTGTTCTTCTGCTGCAGCACATGTCCCCCTTGTGTCTCAGTGTTCCCGTCATGTCCCTCAGATCTCAAAGACATGTAGCCATCCACTGACTAGAAAATAAATAGTAAATCATTTCAAGTTTTTTTTATTTAGCTAAATCATGAGGACTGCAACCACAATTAATTTCTATCCAGTGTTTACAGTTGTGATTAAAATATTCTTAGTTGGTTGTACTCATTTATATGAGTTTATTACAGCTGTCTGTTTATTGACAGAGGAGATGAACAGTCTACCACAAATGCAGACCAAAAAATGTATTTCAGTCTTTTTCCAAACAGATAACAGTCTAGGACACTATAATTCATGTCAGGATGCTCCATTAACCTCGTGAGAATGCAGACTCTCAAGGTTCATCTTATCACAAAATCAAAACATCCAATCTATCAAGCATTGGTGCAGAGGCCGAAACATAGTCAAGCAAAAGAGGGCCTTAGGAAAGATATTAAAGTGTGTATAAGTAAGAAACTACAGAAAAGAAGTTAATTTATAACAGTGTGGAATAAGATATAAAAATCTATTTGGTTCTATAGTGTTCAGAGCAACAGGCCACTTACGTTCCCATTAGTCACTGTCTGGCCAGCAGTGCTGTTACCATGTGGATCGGACAGGGCAGCTGCACTTAATAATGTCATGTGCATCTTCTTCTCAGCTCGTTTCACTGCCTGCAAACAAGCAGATATCAAAACTTGTCCGTTTCTCCTTCTGCATGCATGTAACAAAAAGCTGTCTTAGCAAACACTCGCTGTGGAATTGAAACAATTTCTTTCATTGTTTCTCAACAGCTGAGTCCCTGCATATACCTTCTCTGTCATCCTCCTCCAGTTCAGCTTGAAGATGACAATGATGTAGAAGGTGGATTGTAAAACGACACAAATGAGTAGTCCCAGCCAGAACCCTGCAGGGAAAAATATGGATTAGTCTGTCGAGTGCACAGCAGGCTTCACTTATAAAACCTGCTCTTACTTTGCAGTCCTTTCTTTGTCTTGAACGTGTGTGAATATGATTAAACATCCCTTTATTTACCCAAAACTCTCAGCTTTGCAACAAACATTAGAGTAACAACGAGAGGAAGTCCAATGCAGTAGTATCCAATGAAATTAGCCACAGCTGCTATGTTCTGTTTGCCCGTGCCCAAGAGGATGCCACTGCACACACACTGAGAGAAGAAAAAACACATTGCATGTTTGATATGATGTGTCACACTACAAATATATTTTGTTCTGCACAGACAAGCTGGTAGACTCACCACAAGACCATCAAAGAACTGAAGGAAACAGTATGCGTTCATCAAGTGAGAGACCAGATTTATGATCTTCCTGGAATAATCAATCAAATGGAAGTTGCAGCAACAGTAGTCTTCACTCGGTAAGATGTGTGTGTGTGTGTGTGTGTGAAGCTGTGAAGACTCACTCATCAGAGGTGAAGATGAAGCCAATCACTGTTTTCGTGGAGCCCAGCACCACACCCTCAACGACAGCGAAGCTGCCTGAAAGAGAGGAGCTGTGAAATCTGTCGAACTGCAGAAAACTTCAAAGACAAATACTGATTTCTTAACATTGGACACAACTGCAGTATTTACAATATTTATGTATACAACTGACATGCAAGTGCCAACGACATCTTGGTGGTGAGGATTGCTCGAGCAGTGTCTCCTGCTCCGAGGGCGTTACCCACACGGGCACATGCTGCAGCTTGAATACCAAGAGGGAACTAGGGATTCATGATTGTGGTGAAAATAACATCAAAACACACATAAAAATGATATTGTAATGCCAAAGGACCACAATTATAAATCATATGATCAAAAATGGTGTGCAGTAAGACACAATACCATGTAGGTTATGAATGCCACCATTATCACAACATGTTGAGCTGCCAGCTCTTCTTCACCCAGCATTCCTGATCATCACAGAAAAAGAGAATATCACAGCCATGACTCAAAGTTTAAACCAGGTTCAGTTCACTCTAAATTAATGTCTGCATGAGCTCAAATATATGATTTACCTGCAAAGAATCCTCCAAACTCATAAATCCACCACTCAAAACAAGTCATGAGTGTACTGGGAATGGCAAGTTTCATGTAGGAGCCCCACTCCTGTAGTGATTCCACAGACCAGCCTGCAGGGGGAGAGAAAAACTCATTTGTACAATGTGTAAAAAAAGATGGAGGATGAACTGTGTGGCAGCAACAGAGGGGCCACAAATATCACAACCCTCACCTCCCCATGTGTTCAGGTGCAGCTTCTTCCACCAAACGTAAGCAAACAGAAACACACAGGAGTAAATCTGAGAGAGTGTGTTTGCTGCAGCAGATCCACTGTAACACACACACAGTGATATCAGTGAGTCATGGCTTTCTGTAGATTTAAAACTTTGCATTGAAATGTGTGAGTGCACCCACCTGACTCCCAGATCCAGCCAGTGGAGGAAGGCGTAGTTTGTCACCACATTTGCTATGTTTGCCAAAGCAGCAGTGTACATTTGCGGCAAGATTATACCCTGAGTACACAAACAGCAGATTATGTAATGAGTGCCACTTACACCTCTTCTCTCAGGGATGTAATTTCATTAATTAATACGGCATATTTAGATGGTGTGCGATAAGAGAAGTGGTGCACCTGGTTCTGCAGATAAGACACCTGAAGTTTATAGAGAAACATCACCTACAAGACAAAGATTAAATACGTTGACATTAAGGTTTCAAGGAATCATTAAGACTTTCATTGCATTTGCACACAAAGGTATAAGAGAGGCCAAACTCACCGGCACCGCAGGAAGAAAGGCTGTGATATACAGCTGTGCTATTCTGAAATCGAGAGACTGTATTCAGATCCAGTTAAAGGTAAGCAAATGTCTTTAAAAGATAATATACACTGTTCACTCTCATCAGTTCAAGCTTAAAGTTAAGTTAATGTATGTGGACTAAGACTACAGCAGTTACACACAACTGGTAAAGGTCATTTAATCAGTATTTTGAATGCAGACTCTGTCTGTCTAATGCCCGGATAGGTTTGCATGCATGTTCGGTGCTGTTCAATACCTAGCCACCCCAGGGTCCTGGCCCACACATAACAGGATTGCCTGGGCGTTGATGAGTAGACCCCAGCAGGGCAGACAGAACAGCAGCAGGATGATGATTCCCCGCTGAAGAATCACTCCCACCCGCAGCAGGTTCTTGCCACCAAATATCTGCACAACAGCGCATAGACAATGTTAATCATTTTTAAGGAAGAGAGTAATGAACACTCGGTGTTGGTGAAACTGAGGGTCAGGGCAGTATTTCAGAGGGCAAAGGGTTTTTTTCCAAACCTGAGCGACCAAAGTATCACATGCTCTTCCCAGACCACATCCTGTTGCTGCGGTGGTAACATTAATAGTCTGAAATGAAGCATATGAAACATACATAAATGGGTTTTATGTACACTTGAGGATTTACTAATGTTCCCATGACTCATGAGAGTAAATGTGCTATATATTGATTAAATCATCAGGTTTGTGAGCGAGCTGTAAAAGCTATCTGAGGAAGGTGCGTTATGGTTGTAATATTTCATCATTTTATTCCAACAACTCTCTGGAAATTACATCTCCACCTGTGATTTTCCTACATTGGTCTCCACACAGATGTGCAGTGTAGAAGATGACCACTTACAGCAGAAGCTAATCCATAGCCAGCCATCACTTCATTTCCCAGACGCCCACAGAACATAGTAACCACAAATGGAAGGAGGTAATTGAGGATTCGAGAGAGCAGCTGGAGAGACAAACATTGACAGAGGTGCAGTTGATGGAGGAACCGGCTTACAGGTAATGCATTGTAAATTATCTTAAACACAAGTTACTGTTAATTTGCATCGCTCTCTTTGCAAATGAGCCACCATATTGTCATCACTTAGGCAGGTTGTAGCCAAAGCACTGCTGCCTCTTAAAACGCACACTCAACGTCTATGTTTCCAGGTATTTCAAACAAAACACTCATCTATCTTACAGTGTGTAAATCAACTTAGTGTACACCCATGAAGCACACAACCATGGGTAAAACAGTCACAACATAGTATCATTCCAGTCCTTACCAGAGGCCCCGTCATCCTCAGGATGTGGAACAGTTCTTCTCTGTGGGCCGGGGGAAGCATGTTGCTCATCCACCTGCAGCAGAAAAGCTTGTCGCTGCAGAATCAGATGCTATAATGCAGGTTAGCCTGTGTCCTGACTGTACTTCTCTATGATGCTCTCCAGGGACAGAAGTCACCACTGCGACATGAAGTATTTCAACACCTTAAAAAGTTACTAATTAATTCACCTGACCTCGGTTTCACATATTGCATTTTTGATTTGACACCGTGGGCAAAAACAGAAAAAATCCTTATTGCATCAAACAAGGACATTATATAAAATGGTACATTCCTCTTGTGCTTATTTCAATCAGAGGCAAAATAGATTTTACTTATCATTGCATTCACTGAGCCTTTCTGTGTGGAGTTTGCATGAGTCTGTGTGGGTTGACTCCTGGTATTCCAGCTTATAACACAGTCCAAACAAATGCAGATTGGAGAGGTTAGTGTTGATTGAATACTAATTGAATGTGAGAGTTTATGGTTGTCTCTGTTTGTTGAACCCATGACGGGCAGGTGACATACATTCAGGGTGTATCCTGCGTTGTGTCCAATCCAGTATCAGTTAGGATTGGCTTCCCCATGAATGGATGGATTCACTGAGTGCGTAATTAAATGTCCAATAAATGCCACTGTAGCATATTTAGTAACCACAACCTGCCCTTGCTCTACCTCTGTGTTGTGTGATACGATATGTGAACAGACAGTAGGTGTGAAGATATCATGATTATTCATGAACAGCCATTGCATCTTAATGTCTGCATAGGTTTGGAGAGGTGGAATCAGTGCAGACAGACATGCTCATCAAAGTGTTGGGGGATATTAAACATTAACATGTCATCTGGTACAGTGTTCTACTGAAGAGCTGAAAAGGTTAACCAGTAACATCTCTGCCAACAAATTGAGATGCAGCCCTCTGCTGCTGTTTAGGCAGAAAACCCACACCTGCCTCTAAACACATTTTGAGGTGAGATGCTCCAAATACTGCAGTAGCCTATAAATGTGTGTCGACATAAAATTATATATTTGGTCAGAATTCATTTGAAGATTTTGCTCAGGCTTTCCTGAATAGTTCTCCTCACTGATGATTTCAGAATTATAATATCGATCTCTGTGGTTGTGAAATTCTGTTCTGCTGTGGTGCATTATGTGTGTGGAGCATCCGTATTTTCCACTGGAGGGAGCAGGAGTTTAACATAAAATTTGTTTCCACAAATCACAGTCACCTTGATTGTTTGTCTCATCGAAAGCATGATGAAAAGATGAAGCCTTCTACTGATGAAATATTCATATCCAGCATGCATTTTTGGCACAATGATTTCGCAATACATTTCATAGAAAACAATTGTTGAATGTGATGGTTTGGCAGAGACATCTCTCAGCTGGAAGGACTAGTGTTTAAATTCAATGCAATTTTTTATGTTCTCTCAGATATTGCATGTTTTTTCCAGTCACAGAACAAAGACATGAAAATCAGATGAAATAGACATTGTGAATAATCCATATGTATGAATGTGAGTTTTAAAATAACAAGAAACCGAGTTTCGACCTATAGATTCATCTAATACCCAATACCAGATGATTGTGTATCCTTGCATGCTGTATTGCCACTTTCCAGAAAAAAACACACGATGACTTTGCCAAAAATAGCAAGCTCTGACATGTGTTGGGCATAAGAGGCTGCAGAAAAACTGCATGAGACAGCAATAAAATGTAATTACATGCACAGAAAATTGGTTGAGGAGGAGCTTGTGAACTTTCCTTTCTGTGCTACGGTATATTTAAAACTATGTTACGTTATTATTTGTTCCCCGACAGGAACCAGAAGGAAGCAGAAGAGAAACGACGTGGTGACACCTTGTTGGAATCAGATAGGATCTCGATTACAAGGGAGGATGAGCAAAACATTGCATTTCTCTTCATTCTGCATGTCCTCTTAGAGACTTTCAGTCTTAGTTTGAGAGGCAATGAGCCTCCCTCAGTGTGACAACCCAAAGCCCTCTAGGCTTTATGTTGGCTAAATCAATCAGCCTGTTGGAATGAGTGCCACGAATACTATGTGCTGCAGTGCCAGTGATTTGTATCTGTCACTTGTTATTTTCCCTAACACTGTTCTTGCCTTTGTGTTTTCTGAATCCCTCGGATGACACCTCATATCTCTGCTTTCCTATTACGGCCTCTGGTCTGTATCTTCTCTGCCTCCTTCTATGGTTCCAGCCCATCCACACTTTTGTCTCTCTCGATGGAGACCAAGGCATTGTCGTTTTACCTTGATATGACGTTCTACCCTGACAGTCTCTGACAGTCCGTCAGATCAGACTGCTCTGTAACAATCGGCAATAACCACTTTAACTCAAACACCATACAAAATGAAGGATAGATTATTATATTAACATGTAGCATCATAGGGGCAGTTTTAGCTTTCAGTGCTGAGCTGACTAACAATGTCAGTAGCAAAAATTTCAAAGACTAGAACTTTGTTTAATGATGTTGCAAGAAGCCTTTAAAACATATTTTTGATATTGTTCTTAATATAAATAGAATATATAGCAGTTATGGGGTCAATCAGGACAATCAGGCTGGGAGGTGGTTTGAGACACAGGCTAATGCGTTAAGTAGAGATTTTCATGTTCACTTTAGTATGTTGGTAGTTACAGAAAACTACAGAATCTGATACAGCTTTTGCCGCTCACATTAATGTGCACTTTCATGGCTATCCATCAAAGGCTTTGGGATATTTCCCCAAAAGCATGTGAAACCTTGTGGTGATTCATTTTAATCATACTAAGATATTTGAGTCTAGATTAATGTGGTTGACCAATTGACCAGCAGACAACACCGCTATCCTGAGAGTCAAGCCCTCAGCATAGCTGAAAATTGAATCTGCCTTGCTCATGACACATGTACAAATCCATAAAGTGGCAATGGTGTCATGATATTTCTCGGAGGCAGCAATGCACAAGCAGGCAGTGAAGAAGATTTGAAGTTTAGACATGGATGTAAAACAATGCTGGTTTCTAAATATAAAAGACTCAATACATTCAACATAAAGGACAAACCACTGTGTCTGGCGAGTACCTCTTATTGCAAACATGTTTTTTTGTTTGGTTACAAAAAACTCCACACTGCACCTTTAAGAAACTCAAGGTGATGAGGTTCAGGTGCTGCTTTGTGTAAGCAGCAAACACAGTGTCTCTGCCTCATTCTGTGGTTTGTACTTTTCTCTGGAACATTTTGGTTTATTTTAAGTGTGAAGGAAACAAATGGAGTGTGACTCCTGCTGAGCTGTATGACAAATCTGTCCCTCACTATGGACATTTTAAAATAATGCTTGTCATGATTTCATATTAAAAATCAGATCCATGAGATATCCATAAAACTACAAGTAAAACTTTTGTTGCAGCATGAGGAGCACAAGGAGCTCCTTACGATTGATGATTGAAATTAATCTTGCAAGTTTATGTGCTTATCTGGGCTGAGCATTATTTGAGTCAGTTTGCAGTATTTCATTTTAATCCTACTTCATTAAAAAAAGGCTTTCATTCTCAAAAACTGTACACAGCTTCACTAGCTTGAGAGGGGATGAAAGTCTATTCCACAGACAAGGCTTATTTAAATGAAGTAAACCTCTAAGGAGACAGTTACTCATTTAGTTCTCCTACAATTATTCACTTTCATTGTGTGTTTCACAATGATGGAGGTAAAACTGATATTTTAATGAGTTACTGAGCTGATAACACTCTAGCTAGATGGCATAAATAAATGATGTTAACCATCCATGGATCCCATCAGGCACAGCCCACAGAGGTTACATGGGACAGCTTCCCTGTGGTACCACCTCTCCCTGGCATTGTAGACTCTGTCTGAGGGATCTGAGTTGGTTTTAGACTTTCATGTGACTGCAAGTTTCTAGGAGGAAGGCTCTGACCACTGTTTATGCTTAGACACCAAGCAGCAGAGTATCAAGCCTTCTTATAGTCTCTGGGTGGGGTCCTTGAAAGGGCACTACCTGGGGACTCTATGGTCCTCCTTGGGACTTCAATGCTTATGTAGGCAACCATGGAGAAAGGTCTTAGATTGATTAATACATTTGTGGTCGTATTGTCAGATATTCAGCTGTTTGTCTTGGACAAATGAGAGGAGAGCAGAGCTGTCAACTGATGACACTATCTGGTGGTTATTGAGATTGGATGGTTGGGGAGTCTTCCTAACATGTTGCGAGGGTGGGCTGGCAGAGTTTTTGTTGACCTGTGGACACAAGCGGGGAGGGAGGCCATCAAGCTGCAGAGTTTGGGAGGCTATTAAGGATGACTTTTGTTTGGCATTGAGAAAGTTCTGGCAAACCATCAGATAACTCATGCAGATAAAGCTGAGATCATTTGGAGTGGCTTTTAATTAACCTGTCAATCTACCTATGGTCCTGACCTCTAGGTACTGAATGACAGAATAAGATAAGGGTGGCTGGACCTAAGGTTGACCCAGAACATGATAAAGCTATACATATCTCATATAGCATAGTCATATTGCATAGGGGGGGAAAGACCTCTCAATGATCCTGATGGATAGAAAGGAAAATGGAATTAAACCATACAACCAACAAAAGAATCCTTTTAACAAAGGAGACATCTTGTTTGCTGGTACCCAGCAGATCAAATCAAGGGATGCTACCTATTTAGCTTGTGTCTACCGAGTTACATAAGGGTTTAACATAAAGAGCAGAGTACACCAAGGCAATTTCCTGTATGTGCAAACATACCTGGCAAATAAAAGAATTCTGATTCTGATTCTGATTCTCTAAGGCTCCAAACCATTTTCCCAGATCAGTCAGATTATTAAATCCAGTTAGATATTGATGTATCTGATAAATGGTGACAGATTTGAGCTCTGCTATGAAGGGATGCAGGCTGTCACATCTGATTCCAGTGTGTGCTGTGATATGTGGCTCCAGCATACGACCCTGTCTTCCCAGTGGCATTTTAAATTATTGCTTTCTCAAATCCAATCTGCAAATTGTATTTTTCCCTTGAGACTATTATAAGTAGGTTTTCAAATTCTTTCCAATTCCTAATTCCAAACTCAGAGGTTGTGTTGCAGGCTAATACAACAGTGTGCATACAAGTATCCAAACTTCTACCAAATGATGCACCCTCCAGAATAATTTTGCAATCTATTTTTGTGCATTGCTGCAATAATTTGGTGGTCTTAAAAACAATGTCTTGAAAAAGGTAAAGCTGCAGTAACAATAACAAGTAACAATGTAAAACTAAGTCAAATGACTATATAAAGAATGTAAAATAAGATATCGAACCAGACGTGTTACCAGTGAGGACACATTTGAGATCTGATCTTGAGGGTCTTGACATTGACAACATCCCCATCCCCATCCATCATAGGCAGACTGATGTTAAACCCAGGTTGGAACAGGAATTCAGTTTGTTTTCTATTCTGACCCCACAAATGTGATTTGGTTGAGAATGTATGTTATTTACACAAGCTGAGGCTTTTTTCTGTTTTTTTTGCGACTGCATGGCCTCAAAAAGTATCTCTGTGTGTACCTCTTTCTGTCTCTGCTGCTCTGAACTATTGATCTATTCAGATTTTTTATGAATTCCTAAACATGTCCCTGGCATCCAGAAAAATCACGAGCTGGATCACTAGACAAAGTAAAGCCTTGGCTGCTCTTTTGGAATAACAACAAGACGAAGTCAGTGATGTTGCTGATAAGAGCTGGAGGCCATGGTGAGTTTGATGTTGCAGTCAAGTAACTGAGTTGTTTTGAATCACTGAGCATTAAAGGTCCAGTGTGTAAGATTTAGGTGAAAGGGATCTCTTGGCAGAAATTGAATGTAGAATAATCCTCATGATGTTTTTACTAGTTTTTTTTCATGTAAATTGTATGAATTGTAGTTTTCTTTAACTCAGAAAAGGCCCTTCATATTTAAATACTTTATATTTACATCGAGGGGATACTCTCTAGGAGGACACCATGTTTTTTACATTAGTCCAGATTGGACAAACTAAACACCTTTTGAGTTTTTATGACAACTGAAGCTACCACAGGTTCTTTTTCATGTTTGGAAGGAGAGGGTGAGGTGAGGGGTGTTCAGCTGCAACATCGAATTTCAGCACTAGATGATTTTTTGCTTGTTCTTTCACATTCTCATGTTACTTGTGGACTTTGTAAATTGTAGTGTGTGTGCGCACTCAAAATATTCTCAAGGGAAAATGATTTTGAGATATTGATCAGCTGAAAAGCTAAAAAACAAATAGCTGAAGGAGAAAGGAAAGAATGTGGATTTCAAACACAGATTTCTTTGTCGCAAATGAGCATTAAAAACAGCAAGAAAAATAATTTGACATTAATTACAGATCTGTCACTGTTGGCTTAATCATTCATATGAACCATGAAGCTTGACGTACAAAACAGCAGTCTCTCTAGAATAAAAAAAATCACAGATTATATGTTACAAATGATGTTTAAACATGGTTTAGAGAAACTGCTCCGTGTGAAGGATGAAAGATTTATACAGATCAAAAACAGAGGTCATTGTCCTTTTCACATTCACGATGGAGAAAACAATTCATCAATTTGACAAAATCACCAATTTCAAGGTCTGTTGAGATTTTTGGGACAGATGGTAAACAACTGAAATGACCTCAACAGGTGAACATGCGTCTTGCACATGTATTTTACATGAATTACCTCAACTCAGACATTCCAAAATGCTTTTTGATCTGACAAACATTAAATCAGTTGAAAAAAGTATCTCGGTATGTCCAGTACCTGTTCTAAAGTTCTCCCTTACATCGCTTAGTTTTCATCAAAATACGTAGCTGGTTAGTGACAGCTTATCATGGCTCTTTAGATGTTTGTAGCCATGCTTGACGTGTCGGACAAGTACTGATTTTGGTGTTCTTCCTGTTTTAGTAAAATTGCTATTGAATGAATAATCAAAAATGTTCCTTATATGTTCATGCCTTGCTCAGGGTGAATTATATTATCTTATATTATCTGTCATAACCATAATCCTAGTTTATTTCAAGTTCAAGTTTGAGTTCAAAGCATCCTAGTTCTAGTTTAGGTTCAAATGCACACACCCAACAATTAATTTACCAACTGTTAAATGTTAACGCAATAAACAAAGATGGCGTGCTCTGACCAGAAGGTTGCCGGTTCGATCCCAGTCTTCCCTAGTCCGCATGCCAGTGTGAAGAAAATAATCTCTGCAAAGTCAAGAATGATCTGTCAGTAACGTTAAAGCAGTTGGATTGGTGCATGCCTGTTATCAATGGCTGCTTCTATTAATGAACAGTCTGTAGTAGCACTGAGCAATGAATGGATGATTTCCATTAATCAGTGGAAGCTTGTCCTCATTTACTGGTTCAGTAAGAGCTGCTCTGATGACTTTGTGAGCGATAATAAGACCTACAGCTGTTACTGTAACAAACTCAAACTCTCCGTCTATCACGTCTAACTCAAACTTGCGGATTTAAAGGTCAGACAGTTAGTACATCAATAGTGAAAAGGGGGGGTTGACTTTACAACCTTTCAATATCTAATAAGAGGATATCTGAGTCAAGTCTGATGTCGGGTGCCACTGCAAGTCCTAATAAAGTCAAAAAGCTTCTGCCAGGTGATCTGTTCGCCAACTCCGCAGCATGAGGAGCATGTGGAAGGAATAATGAAACACTCCTGGAGCCAAACTACATTATTCAACGGTGTAATATCTTTATTTATGCAACAGTGAAAGGTGAACTGAGTGCAACAAACACAATAACATGATCATCATCACAGGAGAGGTGTGCAAAACAATAAACTTTGCAGCAGTGAAACCAGCAGTTTTTCCTAGTTAGTCAAAAAGCCAATGTTGTATACATGTACTCATAAGACCAAAAATAAGACCACAGAAGAAAATTAATTTGACAATTTTTAAAGAAGCTGTCACTTAAAGTCATAAGAGTTGTTAATAAATGGCAAATTAGGACAACACCCAATAGTTAAGTCATGATTTGGTGGATACTAATCATTTGACAACATTCATTTGTATCTATTTGAAGACAATAATTGTGTAAGACATCTTTTCATAAATACAATAAATGTACATTATGTAGCTAATCCTCCTGTGTTTACTTTTATAATATGGTGTAACATTTCAATATTGATGATCTGTCAGTGCTCAACAATCAAAATACAAAATGAGGGAATATATTTTGGAAATATGGTGTTCTAACTGTTTAGTAGAGTTTCAGAGAAGGTTTTCTCCTTCATTTGTCTTGTTTCTATCAGTTTCTATCAATTCCACTAAATGAGTGAAGGTCTGAGGTAACGTAGTATTTATTATTATTATTATTATTATTATTATTATTAACAGTGCTTTGCCTCGTTTACAGTATTTCTACTGTTGAAATTAAAACATATTTTAGTTATTTATAATAAATTGAAGAACTGTGGTCACATTTGTCCAAGAATAAATGTTCACCCCTAATTACAGATAACTACTCATTTTAGTTGAGAGCACCACAGACATGACGGCTTACTACTTAACAATATCCAAATAATTTACATGCACAGAACAATCACCATTTAACCATTAAATCCTTATTTGCCATTTACTAAGATTAGTTTAATGAAATGCTGCCCAGTTTAAATATTTCACTGCTCCAGTGAATCATCATGGCAGAAAAATATCACTATGTGCTATATATACGGACTGACAGTAATTTTGATTCTGTGAGTGTACATTAATGGGAATGATTGTATTGTTGCTTGAACAACGAAGTTTCTGCATTTGCAGTTTTAAACGCAAAACAAAATCAAGTTTAGTACCAAGTTTAGGATGTGACTGTCTCAACAATATCATACAATCACCAAGTTATGCTAATTGGTGCACTACAATAACAGGGGCGCCACTACAGGGAGTCTTACATACCTGGTAGCAATCAAACAGCTAATTACTGGACCACTTACTGTATTGTGTTGAGGAGGTAAAGGAAACAGAGTCAAAGACAGCTCACTCCTGGCTAACACGTTCCACTCCGCAATGCAGGATTTCTGCAAGAACGAGACACCTTAAGAACTTAACTTAAGCCCTTTTCTTTCAGAGCAGGTATAAAGACCTTCACCAAGTAATCCTCTGACAAACCGCTTCGATCCAAACCTATAAAAATACTCTTTCAGCTCTGAAACACCACTAGCAGTGAGCTGCAGTGACAACATGATGTGTCCTCAGATTCCTCTGCAGACGCCTTTACTTATCATTACTGTCTTTAAATTCACAGTTATGGAACTTCACAACAAATACCTTCGCACACACACACACACACACACACGCACACACACATTAACACTATCTATGTCAAAGTAAAATATCAGTAGGATAAAATGCACTTTGTCATGATGTAACAGTAAAACTCAATACTTTGGTTAAATTAATACTTTGTATCTCTACACATCAAATACAATTTAAGGCAAATAAATCAACCATTCAACGAGTCAAACAATAAAAACATTCAAAAACATACATTGAAAATATTCCTATTTACAATATTTCCTCATAGAAAAATATTTTTGACTTGCACAGAGTTTTAAACACGGCCACGCTAAGATTCAATTCAACCTGGAGTGCACAAGACAGCACCAGATTTCATCACAAACCTATCAGTTCCAGGGCGGCTGTGAGAAATGGATGCAGCAGCGTCCTGGTAGAGCTTCAACTGGCGTGGGGTCTATTGTACAATATCCTGCAAGCTACCGCAGCTACCGAGCAACTAAACTAACAATAATGATAATTACACCGTCTTTGTAATTAGATGCAGATACACTACAGATCACTTTTTACAGCTGTGTCCATCCATCTGTAAACATTTTTGGTCAAATCAACACTTGCACTTTTGTTTAATCCCTCCAGGAGCTACAGTTACTGACAGACAGCAACAGCTCACAGTCTGCAGGAAACAACAAGAACAACGACAAAATAGAAATACAACTCTTTGTTTCTGAAGCTAGTGCCGCAGTTCAACCGAGGTGTACTTTGATAGTGCAAATGTGACCTCAGGGGCCCGCGGGGGGGCACATCACGGCGCTTCAGCTGCTGTGGACCCGGTCTGAGGAGGCTGTCGAAAGGCATGTTCTGCCTGTCTGGTTGATGGGAAGGAAAGAAGGAAGGAAGGAAGATAGTGGGGAAGGACGGAGTATAAGAATTCCACTAACAGAGGAGGTGAAGTGAGGCAGAATGGGGGAGGGGGTCAGTGGATCCAGATCAGAGTTTATGCCCAAGTTGAACCTCAACTGTGTCACAGACGTGTCACAGACGTGTCACACTGTCTCTGTGTCCAGAGGCCCACAGACGGATGGTGTGTGATGAGTATTTACATCAGTGCAGGAGTCAGTCAGCATGACCACCTGTCTGCACAGCAGTCTGACTGGGAGCTGCTGCTTGAACTGGGACAAAGTCTCCAGAGATGCCACTCTTTTCATCCTTCGCATCTCCAATACATGCCTGTGACTTTAAGACACAGACATTCGCGAGAGTCATCGCTATCCCTGGCATCTTCTGAAAATTTCAGGCACAACGACTAAGCAACATTATCCACAAGCAGGTCAGGACAAAAAGGCAGGACAGGTGGGAAAGTGTAGAGGGCCAAGCAGGAGGTAAAGCTGAGCTGGGAAGGAAACCAGCAGTGGATCCAGTGTACAGTAGGTAGAGGTGACGCTGTTTAATGAGAGAGAATGATTAATTGGACACATTATTCAGTATTTGTTTGCTGGGTTTTAATACAGTCTCTCGCAGTGACTCGCAGTGAGGATATATTTCCAAATCTCGAAATGAATGGATGGAAAGCATGTGGTGCAGGTGAAGTTCATCAGCAAATTTACATTCAGCCCTATCACTCTTGCTCAGATGGCTGCAGGAATACTGTCTCCAGTATTATCTTTAATTGGTTACTTTTCCTCTTTCAGTGGTTTTCTCCTTCTTTCTTTATTGATACAAAATAATAATGCTTCTGTGACTAAAGCGTAAAGACTGCAATGTATCAAATGCACCAAAGAACTAAATCAATCTGTGTTTGTGTCGCTGATTTGTCGAGCCTCTGGCTCTTAAAAGGCTTAATAGACGATGCCTTGAAGTGAAGGGTGGCATTACTCATTTACTAATGTCGTGTTAATGTTCGCTGCCGTAAATGTGACAGGGATTGTTATTCTGAAGTGGGGAAACAAGAAAACGCGACATCTCAGGTGTGGCAGCGATCCAGCGATGCGAATTCTGACAGTTTTCACCACGCTGATGATCAGAGGGTGTCTGAGAAAGCCTGGGCTGTTTGACTTGAGCGACATTATACCTTTATTTTTCAACATGCAAAACGGGACAGGGACACAAATGAGCTGTCACCACTTCATTTCATTATTGTCCCCAGCTATAAAATCAGGAGCCTAATTTGTTGGGTTTTAATAACATTTGTATGAGTGATACATGTCATTGCTCTCCTCTGGGGGAATGAAATGAGATGCCATCAAGGTGCATTAAAATGTAGGACATGATGTTTTTGGAGCTTAAACCTTACCAGGGACTAAAAGTTAAAATATTTCAGCCTCTTTTCATTCAAATTTTCTCATGATGTGTTTCTGAAAGGTTCAGTGTGTAGAATTTAGTGACATCTAGAGGTGAAGTTGCAAGTTGCAGCTGAATACTCCTCATCTCACCCTCCCATTCCCAACATGAAGGAGAACCGGTGGTGAACTTCAGTTGTCATGAAAACTCAAAAGGTTTTAGTTTTTCCAGTTTGGACGACAGTAAAAAAACATGGCTGCCTCCACAGAGAGGACCTCCCTCCATGTAAATATAACGTTTTTAGATATAAAGGGCCCATTCTATGGTAAAGACAACAACAATTCATACAATGTAGATGAAACATACTAATTAAAACATCACTAGGATTATTTTATATTCAATTTCTGAAAATTCCTTTCACCTAAATCTTACACACTGGACATTTGAGGGTTCACAATCTCAATGGAAGGGTAATAATAGTGTGCCTTTGAACTGATTTGCTTACAGGAACAGCTAAAACGTTGTTTATAATGCAGACCATCGTGATCAGACACATTTTTAAAAAGCAAAAACAAAACACTTTGCTGGATTATCTACAGCGAGAATGTGAGGGCACATGAAAAGTCAATAATAGCCTGTCAATGCAGAGGGAGACTGTATATATACAGAACTATAAGAATCTAAATTTCAAATATGTCTGCAAACAGTGTTATTTACGAAAAACATTTTAGGTAAAAAAACAATTCTGTTCACCTTAATTTGAATTCTTATTTCTAATCTGCTCATGTTTCCTGTCCTGTGTAAAGGTAATAATACCAACAATAAAAATGATGGTCAAACCAATCCTCTCAAAACCTGGAATTGTATTTGAAAATTCATACTTGAACAATAATATCTCACCTTGGACCTGGACACTGAGACCTCATTGTTCTTCTCTTCTGTCCTAATGCAATCCCTTTTTCACGTCAGGGAGTCGTGTCTCCACGATGCATGGAGGCACGTCCCCATGCACCTTGTCCTCCACCTCCTCCCACCCCATGGTCCTTATCAGACTCCGGCTGGCTCTGGGCTCGCTCAGGCTTGGGGTTTGGTGTGCAAGGCGGGTCGGGCTGTTGTACCGACATGGTCCTGCGCAAGTGGGTGCGCTTACACAGGAAGTCAGGCTTTGCCGGGAGACCAAACGAGCCTTTCCTCAGGACCATACGAACCGAGGGGGATTTCTTGGGTCTGGCTCTGTGTCCAAATTGAAGGGTGGAGAGGTGCGCTGCATAGCCCTCACTCAGAAACTACACACAGAGAAAAGGGTTAGAATATCTGAAGGGGGTTATTTGGAAAAAATGAAGAAAATCAAATCCTTTCAACTGAAATAGTAAGGTATAGAGACCATGAAAAGCTACTTAAGAAAAGGATAAGAGGAACAAACGGGAATTGAGCTACCTGGCACTGATTCTGGTACTTCTTCGAAGGTCTGCCAACAATATAAATCTGTGAGGGAGTTAGCCCAAGCATGTTGTAAACAGAGATGTCCTTCATGGAGCCATAAGCAGAGTTGATCTTAATATGACACTGGTGAGAGAGGAAATGATCAGTCAGAGATGTGTGTGGCATTTCAATGCAACACAACCCAAGGCTAAAACACTGTGAGCTTGCAAATGAGATGGAGAGTAAAGAAAAGCATAGATCATTGTGGGGCAGAGAGCAAAATGTTTCACATGCTTTATTAAAAGGAATAACTGCACAGGAAATGTCATTGTGATGCTGCACCTCCTGTATGAGGTTCCTGAGAAAGATGGTCTTTTGTCGCAGCGGATCGTGAACCAAGCCTTCAGAGAAGAAGATCATCCCGTGGGGAAAGTTATGCTGCGATAGCCACGATACCACACGCTGCTTCTGCATATCAGGGCGGCCTGTGATGTAGATGATCAGATATCCCAGGTCCTGCCAGTGCCTGCATGCAACATACATAACATCAAACAGCCTTCAGAGGGTATTAACTCTGATCAGCAGCAGCATTAACATGGACTTGCTAAAAACGTTTTGTCTGCACACAAGCACACACATTCAGTCTGACACATTCAGAAGTTTCGTATATACTAAACCTTTTACTTGATTTCTTTTCCACACGTGGATACATGCACAAACACACCCATTCACACCCATTCACACACATTCAGAGGTTGCTGCCTGTTACCTGACAACATCGACAGCTCCGGGGCGGACCTTGGGGTCACTGCCCATGATTGACACACTGGCCGCAAAAGAGCCGTCGATGCTGAAGACCACACACTCCATGCCCCGTGGCAACACAGTCAGGTAGGCCTCTGCGCTCGTTTGATCCCCCCTGAGGATATGAGGGGAAAAAATTGCACATGAAACATGAAACTGCATTTGCTACACATGGCTGTTACTCCCAAGATTGACCTTTATACTCCACACACTGATACAGAGCACAGACATGGGCCCTTATTCAATAAGTCTCATTTTTCTATGTATTGCTACGTCTGATTTGATAATGCAGCACTCTGTAAAGCCCACATGGATGCTTACTTGACCACCATTTTAATCGGATAGACTCCCAGGCCGAGCTTCTTGCTCTTGGGTATGGTATATGTGACTCTGCCGCTGCTATTGGTCACCTCGGTGTCAAAGTGCACCCAGCGGCCAGACTGAGGTTGTGTCATCAGCAGGACGTCCACCTGGCAGGGGCGAGGACATGTCAGTCTTTCATACACACATCAGTGGTAATAAGATCACATCGCTGTTTTTTCACCTTCTCCCCCGTCAGAGTGACCATGTCCAAGGGGCCGTACATGAAGCGCCCAACCAGAGTTTGATGTCCGTCCTCGGTAGCGATGACATCGTTCACCCTGTGGTTGGCTGTGACGTTCTATGGTAGAAAACCAGGCAGAGCATTAAACGCTTCAATTGGGACAATAACATCACAGTTTTAGCCATTTACTAACCCTGCCTCCTCCATGTTAGTGGAAGGGTCGTGGACGAAAGAAATAGTACACATCAAATAAATATTTCTTAGATATGGTTTCTGCCATTTTAGGTAGTTCTTATCACACTGATGTACGTTCAAGTCTTCATGTCTCTCGCAGGTTTGGTTTGAATTAGTTAGCTTTAAAAAACAGGGTCATGATTGACAGCTGAGACTGACTCCTGATTGGTCGAGCACATGAATCAATGGGACTTCGATACCAAGGCTCCCTCCCCCCAGTTCGCTATTGCACAGACTCTGGCTCCAAATGATGTCATCGGCACAAGATGGCAGCGTTCGTACCCAGGAGTATTTTGGCTACATTTCTGGATATTGTGGGGAAGTGGAGAGACGTTGTCCATCTTTACACACAATAGTTTTAAAAGGTAAGAATTAACTCACAAGTTCAAACGTCAGCATTTCACCAAACACATGGATAAACACAGAATGACAGACCTGAGGATGAAATGGCTTTAGCTCTAAAATAAACACATCTAAAGTCACCTCCAGAGTTTGTCCTTGTGTGACCACGTCTTTACAAGTGTTTGAGACGTACAGCTCTGCACAGCATGAGAGGAAAGAGCTGGAGTTTTCTCCGTTTTGATGTGTTGCATTTTCCACATGAAAAAGCCTCTGAAGTATATGTACTGTGGGACCTCAGAGAAAAGAGTGTTAAGCCTCCTTGTCATGATCTTTTCTCCATATTTCACCATTCAGTGAGTACCTCTGAGTGAGCCGGCAGAAAAACACTAATCCCTAAATCTCTCCTTGCAGAGATGGAAGCATTTTAATAGTATATTAAGTGCAGCCTAGTGCATAATTCTCTAACTGGACCAGCATGACATAAATTTAACTTATAACTGCTCTGCTTTTATACAGCACTTTTCCGGTCTTAACGACAACTCAAAGTGTTTTTCACTGCAGGTCACATTTTACCCATTCACAGCTTATATAAACATACTGTACAAGTTTATTTGTGGGAAAAAAAGGCCACATCAATATATTCATCTTTTTTAATAACCCCTGTCCATTTGTATGATTGATTGTTTTTTTGCAAGAGTACAGAGACACCACCACACAAATTTTAAAACACATCAACGAGAGCCACCACCAGAGGAGATTGTTAAATACCATGAAGTAAAAACTACCTCTTCACAATCAGCCTTTTCCTATGGAGCAGCACACGCCTGGAACACTGTTCCCATAGAATGAAGGAACATCACAACTATAAACTCATTCTCCAGTTCTGCAAAACAATGGTTACTGGATACTCAAACATGACATTATCTTGTCACTGTCATTTTAATTCCCTTCTTTTCCTCCTTTTAATTATCTAATTAAAGACAAAAAGTATTTCCAGAAAACTGGAAATGGGCCGAGATAGAAGTCATTACATATCATTATGGATTGGGATGAAGGGGTTGATCCAGGATTGTTTTAGTCTTTTTTTACTTTCTTTAACATTGTGAGAGTGTGTTTTGTGATATTTTCACATATTTCCCAGGTAATAATACATGGATCTTAATCAGGGATACTCATTGGACTGATATGTATGAATCATTTAGTTCAGCTTGATTGAATTTAGGGAGACCACACTTTAAAATACTGTTTACTGCACATCTGCATATAATAAATATTGCTAATTTAATTAGCGACGTCCTGACGGTATTTTTATATTTTGCCACACGTGAGGATGATAACTGATTTAAAGGATTTGACACCTAACAGCTGTTATCCTGCTTTAGCTTTGTCAACATTTAATGGTCTGCCAGCCTGCAGTCTCACCTGCATGTCACAATATGTGCATAAATCATCACAACCCTATGTGATATGAGGACGCCTGTCACTGTTCGCTATCTACTCGAATTCCCCGACGCGGTTACCTGAGAGCTCTCCGTGTTCCTATGTGACAACAGGAAAACCTCAGTATCAGCACACAAGACTGTGGTGGAGATTATTTGGAGAATCAGACCCCTGCCTGAGAAAGAGCAGCAAGTACAAAAAACAACGGGCCCTCTCCAGCTGTGACAGAGACCTCTTGCCAAGCAGAGAAAGATCAGAAATAGATGCCAAGCCTCTCGGAAGAGTATCACTCTGCAGCAGATGAGCTGGCCGTGTCCAGATTGAATCAGCACTGAGCAGCTCTCAATCTCCACACAATGAATTGCTTTCAGGGGGGGGGGCAACTTGTCAAGGCTGCTTTTCCTTAAGCACTGACATCACTTGGCCGAGGTGAGACCACGAATAAGATGTGGACTCAAATATAGCTATGTTTCCATGGCACTCTGGTTATACAGTTCTATTTATAGCCTCATGAAAAGCAAGCAGTCGCTAAATTCTCGTCTTTGGAACATGGCAGATAAATAAGTGTTCAGTGAATAGCAAAGTGAACTTGATTGTTCGACTCTCCACAGCTCACAGGCAGCAAGTAATTGTATGTGTCTGTTCTTCAGTGCAGCAAGGTTAAAGTGTGGGAGTATTCTAAGAACTTCATACCACAAACCATTCATGACGACCACATTATTTAAACATTACAGCCTAAGAGATTTTTTCCTGCTGTGTGGGTGTATTAGTGTAGACCACATTGCAGGTTGTGTAAGATCTTGAGTTTTGTTCAGATATTCATACATTTATTCATATAAAGTTTGAAGATGAGCTTCTACATTTCCGTTCACGGCTTTGCCACTCAAGAAAACTTGGACAAAAGTGTATTTATAGAAAATAAACCAGTGACTAATTTATTACCCTTAGTTTGACATGTGTCCTCCTTCTGAGCCATTTTTCTCGTGGGCTGGAGGGAGAGAATGGAGCAGAGTCCAAATTGTCCGCTTCCTGGTTCTTCACACAGTCACATCGCATGAGCTGTCGATAAACACACAAATGTATAAGAGCAGGTATGTGCACACGCAAGCCTCTGAAATCACATCCCTCTATCAGGGGACAGGTTTGTCTATTAGTAATAACTCTCCTGAACACTTTAATGGTAAAGAACAGATATAATAATAATAATGTGATAGGTTTCACACCCATAGCATTGAAATGAAATCTGCAGTTGGTTTTAATCTAATGGAAAATGTTTGTAACAAGAGCAACAGTGACACAGATTAAGGTGCTGTGAGGTGAGTTGGGATACTCAAAAAATAATTACTGCTCCAATCATGAAAGCAGCCATGCATATACACATTCCTGACTCAATGGCTTCGGCCTTAATATTTAGCAACAGTGGAGAAAATCTAGATTTTAACACGTTTATTTCTGTGCAGCTCTTTAATTCCTTGACATCCATTTAAAATGTAGTGTCGAGCTGAAAACCACTGAAACCAAAAAATAATCCTGATGGCAGCGATGCCACTTCTTATTTACTATATGCTCTCCTTATTCCGCTCACGTTTTCCTCCCATAGAGGACCTGCTGCTGCAGACGATGGTGGGTGAAGAGATTGTTCTTTTTTTTTTCTTCTCTTGGAGCCCTGCCTGCTTTCTAATGATCAAGTTCAAACACTGCTCGTGTCTCCATTTACTTTTAATAGGACATGACACGAAGCGCTTGTTTTTGTTTTTAAATATTTTTCTTTATTATGGACATACTACTGCCGACCACATAATGAACCCAGTTACAGATTTGACAAATTCAAAGGCAGCTCAGTGGGTAGATGGTTTGATTGCCACTTATAGATCATAATGGAGTCCATGCTACCAGATTAAGTGATTACAATTCAAAACATTCTCACTGTACTTAGCTACAGTTACAATTTAAATGGCCTAATGCTGTGTTCGAAATCACTCACAAACCCCTACTTCACTATATAGGGACATTACCATTAGTCATAAACTTCTTGTCAGGATGCATTGTGGGATACATCGAGTCTACTAAATAGGGTATAACAAATTTATTGGCACAACAGCACAACAAAATGGCAAACTCACTATGTAGTGATTAGTGATTAGAGAGTGATTTGAGACACAGCCTCTGTGATAATCAGGAAACAGTAACATCATCATTCAATCTGAAATATAAAATTAGTTTTAGTTAAGTTGAATATAAACCAATTAAAACATGTATGATATTTTAGGCCAATTATTTCTATCCAATAATGTATGTACCTTCCTCAATGACTGAAACACTTAATTTACCATTTGAGAACTACCACCTCTTGGTAGCAGCCAGCGTCCTCGCTCTGTGCAGCACTGCAGATTCACTTGCTTGTTATTTGTATCTTTTTCCATCTATTTGAAGGTAAAAACTAGGTGATGTTTTATTTTTAGGATGGATTGGCTACGAGGTGACGAAGTGAAAACAAAAGCTTCTATGGAACTGTTATTTCACATAGATTTATTTCCATCCCGTTTACTCTTTTTCTCACTCCGCTGCGGAAAATTAAAGGTCAAGGAAAAATGGAGTCATCAGAATCAACATCAGTGACTACTGGGTTCAGTCGACTCTAGGTATCAGTGTGTGAATGCCACATTCATGTACAGCATTATATGCAGTAATAAAAAGAAAATCTTGTAAAAATCTTTTCTAAACGTTTAACTTTTGTTCTTTGAGGATTTCATTTGTAAACTTATGGCCTGTACAGAAGACTAGTGATGTACTTTCCTTTGTTATTTTGTGTCAGCTATTTTCAGAGCAACGGGCTCAGACAACCTTTCCACCTAGAAGTTCAGTATTATTATAGTCTTATTGTGAGACATCATCCTGAAATTACCTTAAGATGATTATAGCAGCCCATGCTTGCTCTGAATAAAATATCCTAATCATTCACAGAAAAAAATGCAAAAATTCATACACCCCCCCCCAAAAAATGCTTTGAAAATGCAAATTTCTAAAAGGCTGCCTACCTGCCGGAGAACAAAAGCTGCTACGTCAGTGGATTCCCAGTAGGAGGCATGAAAAAGGTGTGGCAGAGCCACAGTTGGGAAGGCCGTAAGCACATCAGGGCAGTACAGAGCATAGTCCAGCCTTTTGGAGCCCCACCAGCTACTGGAAACTAAAACACACAATACACTTTTAGAGAAATAATTGTAATATCCAAAGTTTTGGAAAAGTATATTTATTGAAGGGTAAAACTGTTTTTTAAGTACTTATATTTAACTCTTTGTACTTTTATTTCAATACATATAAAAATGAATATTGCTTGACTACTGATTAGAATATTATTGTCATTAGCCCAGCTGGTTATCTTGAGGATACAAGATTAAAAGGAAAAATATATTTCTTAACGATGTGGTAATGGTGCATTCACTACAGTAAATGATCCAATTGCTTCTTCCAACACTGGAAGAGGAAATTTACAGTCAACTGAAGAGCTGTGAAACCTTCATCTACAGGAGGTAATTGAATATATGAGACAAACTGGTCTTTCCTCTGTACTCTTTTATCGCACTCACTGTTGGCGATGGTGTTTCCCAGCTGGCCCATGGAGCAAATTGACGTTTCGCTTTCCACACTGGTCCCGCTGCCTCTGCGACCTCCCTCTTCTCTCCCTCCTCCCTCGGGGCTCGTCTCAGAGGACTGCTGCGGAGCCGGACCTCCTTGAGTATGTTCTCCTTCTAAAAAGACGTTTGCGTGGCCTTGGATGCTTTCCACTGGGGAGGGGGCAGAGGGAGAGAGAAGAGACAAGGACAAACAGGGGAGGAAAGGAGGAGGGAAATGCTTTGATCACACAACAACCGACTGGCCTCAATTTTTAAATCAATGCGGTTATTTTGCTAAATAGGATCGCCTCTTGTTGTGTATCGACTTGCTCTGTGTTTTATTGAGGAAAACCTCAATAGCACTGAAAGAGACTACTTTTAGTTTGAGTCGAGAAAAGCATCTCGCTCTGGGGCCCTGCTCACAAGTATGTATCAGGTGTGTCTTCTCTGTATCAGCAGAGAAGACCGTCTCCAAGCGGCTCTATCCGATTTGTTGGTGATGATACTGTATAACAAGAAAATGAAAGCTTTCCCCGGAGGCCCGGCTGTAGCAGTCTTCACGGATCCACTTGCTATTCCCTGACCAAGAAGAAACACATTTCATCAATAATTTAATTGTCAGGGAGGCAAGCGTCTACCGGCTCCGTTCAATAGCACCTTTATGTTAAAGGCGACAACAACCTGGAGACAAAAGGAGCACAGGAGGCTAACACAGCTAAAAAGACTGACTCAGTGCTTGACAACATTCCCACACTTCTTATTATTCTACCTGTATTATAACCCCAGAGTCATTATCCTCTTAGCGAGGCCTTGCATGTTGCTGCGAATCTGCTATGAAACTGCAAATGGCTTGACCCACGTCTGACTCACCCTTGAACGCTGCGCTGCACGGTGTGCAACTGGTAAAATGGCGAGCTCAATCATGACCTGTGAGCCAAACCAATGTTTTCCCACACCACTGTAAATGGGATGTGATCTCTTCATTTGTATGTATTTCACAAACAAGCCAAGACTCAAAAGCACAGATGACACCACTTATGTATAATGTTACGATCGCCGCACTCTATTGTAAGACATCAATCCACTGGGATGTATTCGTTAGTGGTGGAGTGGACATAAGGAATAAATTGGGAGAGTGAGCAGGGAGCAACATGGTTGAGGGGAGCGGAGATCAAATGAGAGCATGTGTGCCTGCTTGCCTGCAAATGTTCACCAGAACACATTGTATCTGGGTTGGGAGCGGTATGAACAAGAACAGATCCTCCTAACACCATCTTGTAACACAGATTTCTGTGTTTACATGACTTCCACTCACATTGCACACAAACATTACAACTATAGACATCACCTCCTCTTGTGGACAGAGTGTGCGCTCGCATTCCATCAGTATATTTAACCGGGGGATCAGTTTAGGTGCATATATCACATCCCTCACCCAGAATACTCAGTTGAGCCCATGAAGCAGCCAGTTATTGGCAGGTTAACCCCTCCTCTGTTGACGGCTGGAATGATTATAGATAAATCGTCAGATGCAGCCACATGGTGCGTGTTTTGTCTGTGAAGGATCGGAGCGCGCTGCAGAATACAGATTAACGGCCACTCTCTCAGACGTAAGAGAGAATCAGGTGTGGTTAATAAATCCTCCCTGTCAAAGTGAAGAACAATCCACATTCACACCATCAGAATGATGAGAATGAGGGACGCTGACATAAACTGTGTAGTGACAATGGATCATGTGTTTAAATAAGAACGGGCACGTTTTATGAGAAAAAACAAATATAACAGAATAAGGATCATTTGGCTGATTTAAATTGATCTGATCAGGTTTACAATATATCCATTGGACTGTTGATTATATTATATAACCAGTATTTTAAGTTATAATACAGAAAGCTACTATTTCATTGTTATGAAGAATTTGCATTATACTGAAACAATGTTAAGACATCACATTGGGCTGTGATAAATGGGTTGGGAATTTTCTTTAGTATTGTCTGACATTTATATTTAGAAATATATATTATACCACAATATTATGATTTTATTTTAATTGCTCCTGATCGTCAGGCCACCAGCTTCGTGTGCAGGGACACTGTGAAGCACTTCAGATAAATCTCTGGGCAAATGCAGCTGTGAATCATTTCCAATCATTAAAAGTATTCAAAGTCATTTGAAATCAGATTGTCCGACATCGATGCATCACTTGCTGAAAATATCTTTTTTTTCTGCTTTAGACTGTAGGTGACAAGTTTAAATGCAACTTCTACGCCAAGCTGCTGGGCACATGTTTGAGCTTTATGGGTTTTGTGTTAGTGAAATATCAGGACAGATTTTTACCAGGCAGGTTTTTCAGAAATAACTGGTTTGGGAGTGAGAGATTGTTATCCACAACAGAGCACAGATTACAGATTTCTACCGTTATCATGACAACGGAATGCATGACACCAGTCTCTGCACATTTTCTCCAATCAAAACGTGCGTCAACAGAAAACAGGGCCATTGTACATGCTGCAGTGATTACAGCAATCGTACCTGCTCTGAAGAGTGCACACACACACCTATACAATACCATCTGTTTTCATTAGCGAGCCCTACTCAATACCTCTGAGAGGAGATTTATTCTCTTTTTCTTTTTCAGTCTCTGGAACGTAAGCACGACTCTGTCTCTCTTTGTTTCAGCACAATGAACGAGCAGAAAGAGAGGAAGAGAGGGAGAGAGAAAGACAGAGAGCACTGACTGATGAATTTTACATACAGTTTCTAAATATGTGTGGCGGGGTGCAAGAATCAGAAAGAGAGGAGCATCAAAAGACTGCACGGACTGGCACTAAGGATGGAGCTACATGGTGACAATGATGGAACACAGTTGTGGTAAAAGGGTGAGTGGATGCTGACAAGAGTGTTTGACAATGAGAGAGAAGAAAAGAGGTTAAAAAAACACCAGTCCCATTAAATGACGAGATATTACAACTTAATGACGAGGCAGGGGAGAGTGAAACAGCTGATGACTGTGGTAAAAAGGAAGGACAAGCAGATAATTCATAAGGTGATGGAGGATGATTGCACTCTGGCCTTGAAACGACTTTGTAACAAAAAAGAGACAGAATGAGACTATTAACTCGACATTCTCCTTCCTGTCCTCGCCACGCTCTTCACCAACATCCTATTAGCAACTAACTGTAAAATAACCACTTTCTCAGCGTTACGTCACCATCAGCCTGTGAGTTTGTGAGTTTGCCGTCTTGGTGGATCTTATTTCCCACTGGACCAAATCAATAGGAAGAGGGCTCACTCTTCCCCTATTAGAAACATTCATCATAATAAAAGCTGTACGGTTGATGGGTGTTAATGTGAAAGCCAAACCCATAGTAGTCTGCTTGGATTGGCTCTCCAAGCCTTCATAACAACTAATTACCATATTACTGAGCAGGAAATGGGTGATGTGTGTCACTGTCTCTCCTGTGCGAGCGAGTGTTTGTATGTCCGCCTCTGCCTGAAAGCACCTGTCTATGGTTTTTAATATAAAACGTAATTTGACAGCAGCCAAGTTCGATCAATGGAATGGCGATGCAGGTCCGTAATTAAAACCCAATACAGCTGCAAGCCTCAGCCGGCGCCTGTCTGCTTTTACACTCCATCAGCTTTATCTGCACTACTGGCTCCACGAGGCGTGAAGGGTCTTGCTTTGTGACTGGCTGAACATGATTAAATTAATAAATCACAGCACTGGTATCCAGTTTAAAAAAGACAAAACATTGCAGTATTTTCTATCATGTGCACAGGTCACATACGAGCAGAAGGGTTTACACTTGTTCTGCATGTTTAAACAGCAAACACATAAACTGAGATGATTTATTGGATATTTAAAGAACACCGCAGGGACAGACACAGACTTTATGTAAAGATGGATGGTATGGCAGCTCTCCGAAAGTGTCTTGATCGCCACCTGGCTGCAGCATAGGTCAGAAACCCTGTTTTCCTCCATGTTAGTGGGTAGTATACAGATCAAAATAAGAGAGCAAAGTAAAGGTGGTTTCTGTAATTTTAGTGACTTCCTATCACACTGATGTTATAAAGGGGGTGAAACTTCATGTTTGACCGATAAAACTGACTTGTGATTGGTTGAACGTGGACCTTGATACCGTGACTCCGCCTCCGATTGCTACTGCACAGATGTTTGCTCTAAATTATGTCATTGGCACAAGATGGCAACATTCGCATACAGGATACTTTTTGGATTCATTTCTGGATAGTGAGATGAAGCACAGACATGTCGTCCATCTTTCTATCTAGAATGAAGAGTCGCAAAGATGGAGTAAGTTACATTGCTGGCAACATCTTTCAAAAATAGTTTTTCAATGTGTAAATGCCGAAACTAGTGAAAATGAGCGAGTGGTGAAACAGCAGTGAGATTAAAAACAATGTGATCGAGTAAGAAGAGTTTTTCCTTTTCTCTCGCAGCTGCAATAAGATTTAATAAAAAGAAAATTCTGTTAAAGTCCAAATTTATGACCATAATGAGCTTGAGGGATGTTCTTACAGGGATTGGCTTTCACAGTGAAATCCCTGATTAATGTTCTCGTCTACTTTATAGATGGAACATCCAACAGAGCCCAAGCACAAGATTGACATACACTATAAGGAATAATATTTGCTGGCAGGGTTTTACAAGATAATAACAATTGTTGAAAATTTGCAGAGCTAAATTATTGTATTGTCTTTTAAAGATAAAATTTAACAATGTTTGGATATTGTTTTACTTTTTCTTTACTGTGCATAAGAAATTATCATTACAGTGGGTGATATAACTCTAGCAGTGATTTTAAAAAGGTGGATCATCTCATGCATTTCATCTTAGCATAGCAAATAAAGCTGATTCTGAACATGGCACATTTGATAGATAAACCTTGAGTTATCCTGCACACAATTTCGAATGCATGTTGAGTGAAAGGGTTTGGATTTTTTATCTTATCTTCATATCTGGGTTGGTGCTCACAGACTGTTAACACAAGCCATAAGCCCTTGTCCTACTTTCTTTGAGTGAGGTAGGTGGATAGAGAGACAGGAGAAGCCAGGCGATGCGTCATAACTGCTGTTTAGAGCGAGTCTCCATGTCCCGAACGTTGGCTCAACCATGCTTCAAATAAATCAGTGGCTCATTTAGGACTGAGTCTCTACAACCAAGCTCTCTAGTGGGATTACAGCAGGACTTTCCATACCTGGAAGACTAATATCTCACATACTGTGCCTGATCCTCAGAGAGCTCCGGCAGGCTAAAGGTACTGCATCACAAGAAGACGAAGTATAATTACTTCCAACTTCAGGCTTTGGGGGCAGGATTTAACGCTGCCTCTGCAGGAGATGGGATTGCAGCTCTGTGTTCTGCGTCCGTGTCTGTGCACATGTACACACATGGAAATTCACATTACTTAATCATAGAATCTCTCCCCGCTGCTGTAATCTAGTCTCACAAACAGAATTCCTAAAAGGTTTCTCGCCAGCTTTGAAATGCAAAATCCAGAAGGTTATTAATGTGGCACTACAATTACATTAGAAAATAGATTAACCGATGAAATATTCAGGAGGAGCTTCTCTCACATCTCCTCACACTGGTAAATTGATTTTTCTAGCTTTCAAATTGGGATCTTACCTATGAGCATCGAGCGACCGTCGCCCAGAGGGTAGCGCTGGTAGCGGGGCACGGCAAACGGTGGCAACTTGTGGAAGAGAGGCTGCAACAGCGGCTCCAGTCTGGAGGCTGAAGGGTCCGAGGGATAGAAGAGGTTGAAGATCTGAGAGCAGGCTGGATGGAGCTGACTCACTGAGGGTCAGGGAAGAAATGGACAAGACATTAGAGAGATAGGGTTTCTATGAGGTGTAGCTGTGTCAGAGAAGAGCAATATTAAAGCTTGTTATTAAAGCTATTCCCTTCACACAGACTGAACATCCCATACCGTTCATTACGTTCAAGTTTAATATAATCCAGACGGAGATACAGATTAGAAAGTACAGGTGGAAATATCTTAATTGTTTGTTGTTTTTTTACTCTTCAGGGCTTATTTGCATTTTCTCTCAGTTTGTGTGAGTGGATGTGTAGAGTAAATCAAGTGGATCTAATGCACACACACAAAAAATGCAGTTATCTGCATGCATGCCCAAGGCATGCACACAATCCTTCTGTCTATCCATGTGAACAATTGAACTCTCATATGAACTTTGCATGTGTCTGATTCTTACCCTGGACAGCAGGTAGCACAGTGCGTCTCATGGCCAGCACGAGGCCCAGCGGGCAGCCCAGCAGGAAGCAGTCTGACACTTCGAAGTCGAATCGTCCTGGGTTCAACACCAGACTGGTGCTGCTGTTGCCACGCAGCTCGACGCCTTCTTTCATTAAACTGGGGAGGAGACATGGACACAAAACATGGTATTTTATCAACCAGAGAATATTTTTCTTTTTGTGCTGACCGTCTCTCAGCAGGAGACCAGTTGAAAACAGTTTTTCCTTCACTATTCAGAATGCGATTGTCAGGAGGACCTCAGAGATCCACAATGCCTCATCTCAGGCTTAAAACCACCAATTCATGAAGGCTTTTGACAAAAGGTATTATTTTTATATTCAGCTAATATTTCTACTATGATTTTCTGTACTTTTTATGTTTATTTTATCATTTATTCCCCCAAAACTCTGTGAAGGTGACTTAGGTACCTTGAAATACGCTGCAGAAATTGAAGTTATTATTATGTATTATTATTATTACAATTATAATTGGCCAGTAAAATAACTGGAAGCAGGTAGGATTTTGCAAAGTTTATATATACGAAATTCAAGATGCTGCAACAATATATCATTCTTTTAAAAGCTGTGAATCAAAAGCCCTTTAATATGCCGTCAGGTAAGAAATAGAAAATGTATAATTTGGGGATGTAACTATTTATTTTAACCCCATTCATTGTTAAGTTGTTGACATAAGAATGGTTGAGCAAAGAGAGTGTATGACACAACAGGAGCGGGGTTAAATCTAAAATCCTAACAGTCAAAAATGTGCATGCTAAAATTGAGTAGGCAAATATGTAGGTCTTGATGCAGTCAGTGCTGCCTTCACTTCTCCCTGATTCAACTGTCGGCTGGCGTGCTTTAATACTCTGGGTCATTGTCGGCACCGCGCCTTTATGAGCTGTTCATTCAGCATTCGCCAGCTGCATCATGCTTACAGCTCTTTGAACAGCCGAGCCGGGCTCAGCCTCGTCTGTCTGCCTCCGCTCTCCGGTAAGCCAAGATTTCCCCAATTAAGTCCTGCACTGGGAGAAATGATTAGCTGACAGTCTCTAGTCAGATCAATAGTGCTGTGATTGTCTTGTGTTCTTCTCTCTTTTCAAATGTCTCGCTCTTCCCCTTCTTCTTGCTGTTGATCTGTCTGTTTACCTACTAAGACCTATAACCGTGGTATATATATCTATACAACTCAAAAAGCAAAAGCCTATTGAGGTGTTTCAGTTTGGTTCATCTCAACTGTAGAAGTTAGTTTTATTGTTAACATCTGTGAAATTAGGCAAAATAAACACTCCTGATAGATTTGGGAAGAATTAGATAAAGTAAAAAAGAAAGGTTAAACTTAAAAAAAAGAAATCTGCCCAATGTGGGCTGCAGTGAGTTTACTCTATTGGGTCACATCATCTCATAGGTCATTCCCAGCAAGGGCCAAAGCAGAGCAAGGTGAAAATATCTGAAATGGAGTGAATCAGTCAGGAGGAATAACGTAAGGAAAAGAAGTTTTAATAAACCCAGGGATGCACAGGGGAAAAGAGCAAATCCAGGAGCAGAGGTAACTCTCCGCTCAACCAGATTCAGGCTTAATCATGAGTGTAACACGAAGTGAAAGGCGAGAAGTGCGCTTCCTTTAACACAGGGTGGCATAAACCATGAATTGACAGGATCGTGTCTTCGGCGACTCTCAGGCTGTGATGGTGTAAGCCCAGTGGAGCATGTGGTGTGGAATGGGAACACTGGTTACTTGAATTGAGTCAACATGGCAGCTATACCCCCTCCAGCCGCCCTGACCCAGCTAAATGTACCTGCAGCGCTCGGTCTCCCGCACAAACTGGCTGGCACAGGCACAAACAGGCTATTTATAGCTCAGCAGAGGCCAGGCAGTCAAGCTGCAAATTTTGATAAAGAGCAGGGGTGAGACAGGGTGACACATTCCAGGAAATCCTGGACGAGGGCCGGCCTGCAACATCTGGATCATTATGCAAAGCTGTAACACACTCATCACTGATCGACAAAGGCTGTTTGACAGAAAGGTGTGATGGAATTTCTAATACCGCTCCGTAGGTCTGATGTGCTCTGTTGCCAAGCTGTAGGGGTTTGTCTGGAATAAGGGTGATATGTGTGAAAATGAGTGATTCTTAATTTTACCTCTGCCAAGGAGGTTATGTTTTCATTGTCTATTATGAGCATTACGCAAAATATCACACCACCAACAATATTATTTTCATTAACATTGCAAGTTAGGACTTTTTGATTTTCCAGGGAATCTTACATGAATGTTGATGGAATAAATCAGGCACATTTAGGGGCCTGATATTGTGTGTAATCTCAGTGTGTAATTTGGTGCAGCTTGATTGAATTCAAGGGAGCTGTTGGGCCTCTAATGAGGTGTGTGATCTGCTGAGTGATATTCTAGTAATATATAGTTATATATTTGGGTTTAAGATCAAAACATAAACATGTGATAAACAATCAGAAATCCAGCTTTTATTTCCTGGTGTTCCTGGTAAATCTCGATGTGTTGAACAGCTAAAGAGATACCAGCCCATTTGTGAGATAATTTAAAGCAACCAATTGTATTCAAGTAACTTTAACTCAGCGCTCGTGCACACTACAGGATAATCCGGATGATTCTGACCTGATTCAACCTTGGAACTATCGCTGTATTGCAGATTACAAGTACACATCTGTTTGGTGACCTTCCCGCACAGCTGCTTATTCCACCTTCTCAGCCATGACTTCATCCATAGTTTGTTTTTGTTTGTCTGATGTTTGATCACACAAGTTTCTGTGAGAACCAAAGTCTCTGGAATCATTCACTGTGAAATCGTTTCCTACAACGGCAAGTGTGTGATCTTATATTCATTTAAAGGTACAGTGTGTAGAATTTTGTGATATCTAGTGTTGAAGTTGCATGTTGCAGCTGAAAACCCTTCACCTCACCCTCCCTTTCCAAACATGAAAAAGAACCTGTGGTAGCTTCAGTTGTCATAAAAACTCAAAGGTGTTTAGTTTGTCCAGTCTGGACTAATGTAAAAAGGATGGTGGCCACCGTATTCAGGGTCCCCTCGATGTAAATATTTAAGTATTTAGATATAAAGGGCCTGTTCTAGGGTAAAGAAAACTACAATTCATAGAATTTAGATGAAACAAACTAGTGAAAACATCATGAGGATTATTCTACATTAAATATCTGCCAATAGATCCCTTTCACCTAAATCTTACACACTGGACCTTTGAAATATAACAATAAAAATTGGTTAAGTCTGTCTGTAAAGTCTGTGGTCTCCTACGTTTCAAAATTCAATTAAGAGCTGAAAATCCTCTAGTGTGCACCAGGCATTAATGATATTTAAAACTGGCTACATAATCCTTATTTATATTAAATGCATCAAGCCTTTGACAAACTGAAATGAACAAATTGTTGTATTCTTCTACCACAGCCTCTTTCACATCTTGCTTGGTTCAGGTGGTTCCCTCTTCAGGAGGTGAAATGCTCTTTCTCTACATTTTGGCCTTTGCATCACTTTTGTTAAGGTTCACCTCATCAATCCATAAAACATCCAGCTCCAGAACTTACTCATCTCATCTCTGTGCTGCTTCTTACAGCTGATGAGTGGTCTGTGGTGTGGCCTCTATATTTCTGCTCTTCAAGTCTTTTCTTCAAACGTGAATAGTGAAACCTTCATCCCTGCCCTGCGGAGGATGGTGGTGATGTCACTCTCATGCCTTGTAAAATGACATTCCCTGACTCACTTATTTCTCTGACTCTTAAAATAGAAAAGCACCATCAAAATGTTATGATTTTTAATCATTTAGATAGTATTAGTTATATATGAGTTATAGGACAGTGTCTGGCTCTGGACCACAGTGCCTATTATTTTTCTTGGGTATCATCACATAACAATCCCCTGTGTGTAGGTTTGTTCATGTGTTTCACCTGGAAAAAAAGCTGTGCTGGCTGGTGGATGTGGTATCTCCATCGTACGAGTCGCTCTGCTTCCGGCTGAGCGGCGGCCCACTCTGGCCGTGCCCCTCGTTGGGTGCCGAGATGTCGATGTTGCTCTTGCTCAGCCTCTTGCTAGAACTCAGACCCGGGCCTGACTCCCCAAGCAGGCCCGAGTTATCCTACAGAGAAGGGACGAGAGTTAACTGTAAAACCTCATACACCCACATCATTTGCTGCACCGGGAAATTACACATAATGGGAGGGGAGTTGATGCGTTTTCCCAGGTGAACACTTAAACATGGGGGTGGGGGGGGAACTGTGCCTGTGCAAGAAGGAATCTATTCGATGTGAGTGGATTTAAATGGGAGAGGGGAGGAGATGAGAGGGGGACTAATGGGCGGAAAATGGGAAATCATGCAACACTCAGCAAGAGGAAAAGATCCAAAAATGACAAGCTGCATTAGGACAGTACAAATCTAACACAGGTTCTCCTTCCCCCAATTCAACCACTGAAAACAAATGGTGATCCAGACATAAATTAACCTCCATTGTGGCTTTGATTCATAACTTTTAATATGCAAGACTTAAAAACATAATGCTGAGGATATGATTCAAAAAGCCATTCTTAACAGTATCGGTGTAAAACTGACTTTTCTTAATAGAACAGGGGAGTTGTGCGTAAAAAAAACAACAACACAAGAGTTTAATTTTGATAATTTCCCACAGCACCTATCGAGAGCAACATTTTCTTAATAATTTCCAGTAACCCCACAGACCTGGAGTACCACCAGCATGTAATCACCATAACGCTGAGCTCATACCTTCAGGCTCTCGGTGCTGTTGTTCCTGCTGCTGTTGTCGGGGCTCCCAGGCCTCTGGTTGTTGCTGAAGCACAAAGCGTCAAAGCAAAGCACACCTCCCACGCAGTCGCCCATCAGGCAAACCTGCGGGGCAAATGTATGATTTAGACGCCCCTTCACATACGGTGCTCTCAGTCAGTGAAAGCTTTGACATGGGGGAGATTGGAGGGGTGTATGAATGGAAGAGAGAAACCAACATATTTCAAAAACAGGATGGTATGACTCTCAGTGTGCCCCAATCCCACTCTATATACAGAGGATACACGATGTACTATTTACTAAATATCATATAATATGATTTTTAAAAATTTGTATGTAAGAGATGAATTGATTTACCAATTTGTACTATCAGGCAATGTTGCAGTATCTATTATTCTCACAACCACTGCTCAGAAAATGTCCCAATTATAAATCCAAATGGGCTTCTAAGACTTTAAAACTCCTTTTCATATATAGTATCCTTTAGCAGCTGTTTCCCTACCATTCCAATTTTATTTTAATGTTTTGCAGCAGTGAGCAGAGTCTTCATTTATGTGCATAAATCAGGAACAGCTCATGCTGTATTTACGATGTCATTTAAATTGCAATTACAAGCAAATGAGTGGAAACTAGAATGTCACTCCGAAGAGCCAAGGCCAAACAGTCCCCTAATGAAACCACATTTAAATTCACTAGATCCGTATTTTGAAGGTTTTTCCATCAAGATCCATTAATTATTCTCTGAAAAATCAACGAAAATGTTGAAAACCTCAAAATGTTAAGGAAAGTGAAAAAACCTCCTGTGAGAAGGATCTGCACCAAAAGTTAATGGGCTCTTAACGAATCTTACCATAAGATTTGTGGTAATTCTGGTAGTTTCTGCATAATCCTGCCAACTAACATACTGACAAAACAAAGGATAACTTCCTTGGCAGAAAACTCCAAAGAAAGTTTGGAACTTTGTGTAAATGCTCTAAAGTTGTGTTCTGTTGCTCTTATTTTACTGTCACCACATGATGAAATCATTAGTTCAAATACTTTTTTTTGTTTTTTGAACTTTGTGGTTTGGGTTTGCACCAAACATCCTCCAAATGTAACCTGCTTATAATGAGTCTGAATTAAGAAACTGGGACACAGATCCTGTTCTTTTAGACTAGTGTCAATCTGTGTGTCCACTATCATCAGGTAGTAATGATGCTGGAAGGAAATAACCTACATCTCATCACAATAAAGATAATTGCAAGTGGACTAATCTGTAGAACAAATAATGGAGAGAAAGAAAAGAGGATGACAATTCATACAATTGTAGCAGGAAGGCTCGTAAAATAAAGTCAAATGTTAACAGTATCCATCCATCATCCATCCATTCATCCATCATCCAGTGAGAATTGAAAGAACCAATCACAACATACAGAATCTACTATCAATCAACAAGACATTGCTGTGATTGTAATCACCAGAGGGATGTGTACTTGGCTGTATCTAATTTCTCTATCAGCTAATCAACTGTATTGATCAGTGGCTTTCAGTCTTGTGCCATCGAAGCCTGCAATTTTGAAGCATTTAATTTCAAACTAGAATGTCACTCATATATATATATATATATATATATATCACTGATTTTGTTTTTCATCATTCAGAAATTATTCTCTAAGAAATCAAAGCAAATGTTGAAAAACATCTCTCCATGGTAAATGAAAATAAATTCCTGGATTCACCCTCTGATTCAGATCTGCACCAGAATTGAATGGGTTCATTCAAACCCTCCGCAACAATTCATGGAAATCAGTCGAGTAGTTTTTGCATAATCCTGCTAACTAACAAACAAATGCAGATGAAAACACAACCTCCTGGTCTGTAAACACTCTTTTTCAATTATTGTTTGGACACTTTTTGACATTTAATTACATTTGGAATGCGTTGTATGTGTGAGGCTGAGCACGGATGTTGTGTTTCACGGCCCTTTAATTGTGAACTATCTTCTAACACATTATTACCTCATTAGAAAAAGCAGCTTGTTACCAAAGAGGCGAGTAGTTGTTATGTGGGAGAGAGTGAAATGTGGTCCTCTGGGCCTGAGCTCCCACAGTTTCCAGATTACACAGCCCACTCAACGCAATCTTTACTTCCTTTGACAATTATCGACTTCCATTATAGTGTGTGCAGCCCATTACTCAATAATGAGAGTGTAGGAGTCTGTCCCCAAGGCGTGACAGACCTGACCCGTGAATCCCTGGCCGTCCTCTGACTGCAGGAAGCTGTGGTACACCTGGTTGGCTCGAGCGATGATGGTCGCTACAGCATCCTGGTAGCGTGGTGAGACGATGGCGAGGAGGGGGAGGGCAGCCAGGGGGAGGTGGTCCACGCTGCTGGACACACAGCTTTCATCGTAGCTGTATGGGTTCAGACTGGAGAATGGGGTGACGGTGGAAAAGAGGGAGGAAGGAAGGAAGATGGATAAAGTGAAAAGACAGTTTATCATCACTCTGTTGTTTCCTTATAGAAGTTATTATAATACCAGTCATAAATTCCTAATGCAGAGTAAAGTAAAAAATAAATGAAGGTTACAAAAGGTTCATCATGCTCCTTGTGTGATATGCTTCCCCCTGACGATCCTGCATCTAATAATGTCTCATCCATCCAATCTGTTCACCATGATCACTATCTGATGTGAGGCGAGCTTTTCCACAGCGGTACGATAGTGCAAGCACAGATCAAGTGAGACACTTCATGTGACAGCTTGGGGAAAACATTAAAAGATGTCATTGCCTTGCTCTCTCTCCTTGAGCTGCAGTGTCGACCCCGTCACCATTCATCAGATGCTCTGATTACAGGAAGAAGCAGCAATGCTACACCAAGGCTGAGATCCGTCATAACGATGGACACCTCAATACACACAAGGGCACCACCTCTGTGAGAGTGTGAGGACTCACAATTTTCATATGGCACTGACACAAAATATAAATGATCCAATAATTTGGGAAGCACACACCTGGACTACAAGATCAACAATAAGTTTATCTCTGTTCAATTCAGAAATAGATTTTCTTCCTATATCGGGTACTTATAGTCACTACTATCTAACGTCCAAAACCAGCAGTTTGAAATCTGTCTCTCAGAACGTTTGAACAGTTCCATTCAGTCCCTCTGTTAAGCAAAGTCAGTTTTTATTTATAAAGCTTGAACTCACAGATTTGATGCAGAGAGTTTTACAAGCTATATAACTCATGACACCCTCTATCCACAAACCCTCCAATTCAAACAGGGAAAAGACACAAACTGAACCTTTAAATCTCTCAGGGACAGTTTTTGGCTGTGGATCAGGACATGATATTTAGTATTTCTGGCAGCAGGATGTTGGTGTTTTTGGGACTCAGTCATCATAAAACAAGGTGCCCACGTTTGATGTAAAGTAGAAATATGTCAACCAGTGCAGCAGTGTCGCTCTGTGATGTATTTTTATTACCAAATTATGGAGAGAAACGCAGCTCTGTAGCACAGAGGAATTTATCAGACTTTGGATACACAGGCAGAAGTTGCTAGTTGGGTAAATTATTGGATTTCTTCCTTTTCAGAGATTTTTGTGATGCCTTGTCTACGCTACTGTTTTTTTTACAGATATCTTTTATAAAATATCTCCATCCAGACACAAACTGGGACACCAACACAAAAAATGATTCCAATAAGAAAGCCGGACCAATCTGTGGAGATAGATTGTAAATCAAAGTAATATTGGGCGATGGTGGTGAATGTGTCTGTAATGTGGTGCAGTGATTTAGCTCCAAATGTGAAATTATAGTCCTGGGTGTGCTAACCAAGCTCAGACAAACTGGTGTATAGCTCCTATTGTGGTTGTTGTCGTTCCTGGTGTATACTCATTACATAAAGCTGTCATGTTGTTACAGATGAATACACAGTTTTTGAAAATCTGCACTTTGGAAGATGTTTGCGTTTCTATTTTACTGAGTTCAAATGTTGTTTGCATGAGGATGAGAGGCACAAATGCAGAGGAAAAGGTTTGTTTTGTAAAATATGCGCATTAGTTTGGACAGGGCATAAAATTTGAACATCAGCAGCCTGGTGAAAACAAAAAATAAAATAACAGATGTTACTTAAAGGGCACTCAGATATAATTAGATAAAGACCAACATCTGAAAAAAGAGAGTCCTGTCTTCATCACTGAGTACCTGGCTCTGCACACTGCACACTCTCCACTGCCAGCAAATATAACAGAAAACTGTAATTGTTCAAACGTGTATGCTTTTATCTTTTAATTGAGGTTAATTCTTTTCTCATGCTCTCATACTTTGTTTTTCTAATCTAATCCAAAAGATGCGAGATGTTCTTGTTGTACATCTAATTGGGCTGCCAGGATTTATTTTGTAAGTCACTGAGGGCCCCTTTTTTGCCTCTGGAGGGTTGTGTGAGCTTTGTTTATTTGGAGCCAAACTTTGTGTTGTCATGGTAACACCATCCCTGAATAGGAGAAAATCGAGTTGAAGTACCATTGATGCAAGAAACAAAAAATGCACAAATTACATGACTTTGAATTATTCCATGTATATTAGGCTGAATAAGCCATTTACTTGATTGCCTAATCTGACTTTTATCATTAAAATCCCATTTTCATTTCATTTTTTTTCCCCAAACCAAACTTCACCAACCCTTTTAACATCAGCATGACTCTGCACGCTACGGCCAATTTCTGTACCAGTTTCAAAATACTGTGCTGCAGCGCTTTGGGAAACATGTCGGGACGAAAAGAGACGAGATGTGATGTTGGGCTCGCAGCCACTCATGGGTTGGAAAATGTTTGAAAAATGAAAAGTCATGCTATTCTGCTTGACAGAAGTACGTGGAAGTCAAACAGGCAAACATATCATCCACAAAATGGTTGGTTAACCTTAAGACATGCTCTGGGTCCTGTAAAAGCCACATAAAGATGCACGGAGCTCTCAGAGCTGCGAGCGTGGCAGCAGACTCTTTTTAGACTCATTTGTATTGCTGCAGTGTGTTTTACCTGTCCTATAATCTCTATAAAGCATATTCCCTGTTGGGGTAGTTTCTCCTGCAGCTTCACTCTTGGCAGTCTCCCGCTGGACTAGTCACTATTAATGCAGCGATGCGAGGCGTCACACCCCAGGATGTGGCTCTGATGTGTTGCTGTCAGTAGAAAAGTGTGTAGACATCACCTAAAGACTCTTGAGATGCAACATGAACTCTGCAGTGTGTGACTCCAGGTCCTGAGGGCAGCTTTTTGAGACAGATTGTACTCTACGTGCTGCTCCCATGCAGATTTGAAAGGAAACAAGGAACAAAGGGAAACCTTTTGAATTTGAACAGTACTGCAACCACTTATTTGCATGACAACAATGACTCTCAATCCGTGAGAAATATTCAGCTCAGGCAATTTAAGGAGCGATGGTGGCACATTACTCTCAGGAGGACTCGCCCTGCAACAAAATACTGTCATCCCACCATTTATCTGTTTGCCAATGAATTTTGGGACTAAAATGAGAAATCCCCATATACCAATTAAAAACCAATGAGGGCTTGAACCAAGCTTTGTGGTTGTTTGGCCTTGATCTCATTAGAGTCATGTTAAAAACCTTTCCTACAGACACTCCCCAAAAAAACAAACTTATTCAAAGAGTATCTCCACGGAAATAAAGCTCCAATTAATATTCAGAACGCAGCTCTTCGTCTGAACAGGATTCACAAGTCACATAGCAGAGGTTCAACACCTGCTGCACGACAAATGTCAGGTGAGACTCATTATTTGCATTGCATAATTGCTTGATTATACAAGCACTTGTTAGTATTATTACCACAAAGCAGCCACTGTTTTACATTCAGAAGAGTGCACAGCAATGTGTGAGTGTGCATGTGCATGAGCCAAACTCAACGTACAACATGCTGGAGGATTGCAGGTTATTCTATTTTCAGATCCAATTATCCTGATTAATTTGAGGGGATCATTAATGTCTGTGTCTACACAAACATGCGCTTCGGAAAAGCCTAATTATCTGAACTGTAATTTCCTATAAAATGCTGGTGATCAATAAAGTAGTGGCTGCGACATCTGACAAACAATTATATGCTGTAGCGTATTTGCTTTGGGGGAGAGATGTTGTTCTGCCGTCTTGGTTGTCGGCCCTGTCCCAATTCACAGCTTAGCCCTACCCCTTGGACCCAGCTTTGTTTTGTGCATGTCCATGTAGGGGTAGTATTGTCCCATTTCTCTATGTGATGTAGGGGTAGGGGTAAAATGCTCATAAATTTAAAGGTCCAGTGTGTAAGATTTAGGTGAAAAGGAACTATTGGCAGGAACTGAATGCAGAATAATCCTCATGATGTTTTCAATAGTTAATTTCATGTAAATTGTATGAATTGTAGTTTTCTTTACCCCAGAAAAGACCCTTTATATTTAAATACTTTATATTTACATCGAGGGGACCCTCTCTACGGAGGCCGCCATGTTTTTTACATTAGTCCAGATTGGACTAACTGAACACCTTTTGAGTTTTTATGACAATTAAAGGCTACCACAGGTTCTTTTTCATGTTTGAAGGAGAGGGTGAGGTGTTCAGCTGCAACATGCAACTTCAACACTAGTTATCACAAAATTGTACACACTGTACCTTTAAGTATGAAATCTTGCAAAATAACATTATTAATCTTATTTTACTTCAGTAGCAAATTAAAATCTAATTGAATCGCTATGACAAGCGTTTTAGGAAAATCGCTGTTAATATAATAACTTTAGTTGACAGTGTTTGTCACTGTAATAACTTTGGTTGGCTGCTGATGACATAGCAATTTTCTGGAGGAATCGGTGCAGGGCATTACAGTATGTGGCTGCAGATTCAGTTTCTTGGTTAAGAGCGCATATTGATCCAGTGTCGACTAACAGGCCACAGTGACGACATCCAACCTGACACACATCAGCCAGCAGGGACACAACAGATAATTCAAATAAGTTACTTGGGAGGAAGAGCCACATCCACGGGGGGGAAGAATAGTAGACTCCTTTGTTATTTCATGATCTGAGTCATTCATCCATGAGTGGCAGCATTTACCTCGTTTACATCTCTCCACTCTCAGTAGTAAAATAATTATTAACCGAGAACATGCTGCGCCCACGTTTTTGAAGAGTAAGTGTAATTTTCTGCTTTGTTATGGGCGTCAGTTGACCTGAGATCGGCTGGAACTAAAGTTATCCTTCCTCTTTGAACAAAGGCAGCTTTTCAGTTGATCTCGATGCCTGTGATTATCATGTAGATTTTTCAATTAACACTGCCAAGGCAGCGTTAACACAATACTATTCTACACTGACAGAAAAAATAGTCCCCCTTATTGTGGTAATGTGATGATGAAGTGAAGCATGAACAGCGAGCTGATAAAACCT